ATTAGAAACGCCAAATTCTCTTCATGGAAAAAATTCTGCTTACCCTTAAATAAAAATACTCCAATTAAGACAATCTGGAATAAGCTTAAAGCAATAAAGAATGTGCTTGTCTGCACCCACACACCTGTGGTTTACGGTCAATGGACGACAGATCTTATAGATAGTTTGTGTCATCCTGGACCCATCAATCGTCTCCCATTTGAACGTAAAGACCCAGGTCGAAACACTAGTTTGGTGGAGCAATTCACAATAAATGAGTTAGAAGCAGCATTAAGAAACAGGAACAATACAGCCCCAGGATTCGATTTAATTCAATATTCTATGATTTATAGATTACCTAAATCTGCCCGCACAGTCCTTCTAGGCATATTCAATGAATCGTGGTTAAAGAAAACCATACCTAATGCGTGGAAAGACACAATGGTCATATTGATTAAAAAGGAGGGTAAGCCCCAAGACAATTATAAATCCTATCGCCCCATTTCTTTGATGTCGTGTATGTTAAAGTCCTACGAAAGAATGATCAAAGCTCGTCTTGAATGGTGGTTGGAAAGAAATTTTCTTCTACCAGAGACGCAGTTTGGTTCCAGAAGGAACAGGTCAGTTACAGACGCACAATTATATTTTATTAGTGACGTTTACATGAGCTTGTCAGTGAATGAAAGCGTCCTAGCTCTCTTCTTGGACGTAGGCGGAGCATATGATAACGTGGATTTGTTCGAGTTAGGCAGAAGGCTTAAAGAGATAGACCTCCCAGAAGACTTTGTACAAAATATAATGGCAGTGATCTCAGACAGATCAATCACCATAAATGTAAATGGAGCACTAAAAGGTCCATTCAAATCCTTCAAAAGAATCCCACAGGGAGGAATCCTCAGCCCCCTGTTGTACGCAGTATAAGTTGCGGACTTACCAGGTATTGTTCCTCCCAACATCCGGATAGTTCAGTATGCAGACGACATTTATTTGCATGCAAGAGGGAAAAACATTCTGGAATAAGTTAGCCGAGTTCATTCCCGAATTTAAGAAATGGCTAGATATCAAAGGCCTGGACATCTCACAGGAAAAATCGTACTTATGCCCATTCACGCGAAAGCGAGAGCACAGTTAAAACAGGCGGGTACAGTTTTCCAGTTAAGTCGTCAGCTAAGTTTCTAGGTCTTAACTTTGACTCCAAATTAAACTGGTCAGGCCAAATTCAGTCAATCCTGGCAAAGGGGGAAAAGCTGTTCAATATTCTCCGTTGTTTCACAAGCTATCAATGGGGGGCTGATCCATACACAGGCCTTCTATTTTTTAGATCATCTATCAGATCAATGATAGATTTTGGAGCAGTGTTTTACGGACAAGCGGCAGATACCCACATAAATAAGATCCAAACTTTCATTAATAAATGTTTGAGACGAATACTGGGTTGCCTTCAAAGCTCTCCCCGTATAGCTATATACGCCGAGGCGGCCGAGCCTCCCCTTAAGATTCGTATTAAGAAACTCGCCATTAATAGGATAATAACTTTACATAGAACAGATAGCGCAATTCTTCCAAAGATATCTTCACTGGCCGAGTTAGTTCTAACCACAAACTACTGGCTCCACAAAAAAGCCCCACCAATTGTCTCAGCATTTGTAGATACCGTACCTGAAATATATTCTATCCACAAAAGTAAAATAGACCGGTCCCATCAGCATTTGTCTCCCCCACTTGCTTATATCTAGATGACTACTCCATGGTACCAGGCTGGATAGCCAATAAAATGTTTCGAGCAGACCTTAGAGCGAATTTGGCCAATTATTACTTGCTTTTTACTGATGGCTCGAAAGTAGACGGAAAGGTCGGATTCGCCATATACGACCCAGTACGCGATACAAACGAAGGGTACTCTCTCCCAGGGTGGGCTTCGATATTCTCCGCGGAATCGATGGGGGTACTCAAGGCCCTAGAATACACCCAGTATAAGCTTCAGAACGTAACCCAAATCGCAATACTAACTGACTCCAGGAGCGTGGTTTCGCATTTGGAGAATATAAACACGTATTCCAAATGCGATCACGTTACAATGGAAATTTTATTGAGATACAGAGACTTGGTTAGTGACGGTAAATCAGTCACCCTGTGCTGGATTAAAGGACACTCGGGCATCCGAGAAAATGAAATTGTGGATAGGTTCGCGAAGGAAGCCGTAGTAAACGGCTCTTTCTTCGATTACAAAATGACCAAGTGCGATGCCAAAAGGGCATTAAATAGAGTGTGGCTACGCGATTGGCAACTGCTACATGACGGCTCCCAGGGAGGGCAATTGAACAGGCTAAGGTTTCCCATGGTGCCTAAGAAGCCGTGGTTTCAAGGGTGTACGGGTTCGAGGCGTTTTTTCTCCACGATGGTGCGAATACGTACAAATCACGGGTTATGGGGCGCACATAGATTCAGAATAGGAGTGAGAGACAGTCCAAATTGCGCGACTTGTGATAAACCAGAAGACCTCAATCACTTGATTATGGAATGCCCGGAACACGAGGAGAGGAGAAAAATTTTCCTGGAGAGGATCTATTCCTTGCAGTGTGTAGCAAAACCATTCAGTTTGGAGTCCCTAATTTCAGAAGGTAGAGACACTGTTTACATGCTTCTATATCAATTCACCAAGGGGGGTAAAATAGATATTTGAACAGTCAACGCTCCGGGGGGCGGGGTCTTGGGGACCTCAGTGCTTTGAGGCTTACAGCAGACCAATTGTCTAAAGACATTCTCGAGCAAATGCGAGTCCTGCAACTATGTGTGTCCTGGTCAATTCTGGTCCTCTTACGGGGCGAAAAGCCATCAGTCCATACTGATTTAATCTTCTTCGAGCAGTGCGTTCAGAAATTTGGACACCACGAACTTCCTGGTGCTGATGAATCGCTTGAAAAACAGTAAGGTGCAGGTTTAGCAAAATTCTCAACATCACAAAACGTCATCCTGTGGTTCTGTTACTCTAGGGCGTCCAGGGGTATTACGTCTAGGGGTAGGACCAACTTCTAGAAAAAGTCTAACGGCGTCTTGCAGTGTTTCTTAATGAATTCCGATTGTCAATAGCCGCATACCTGATGGAACGTCCATCATCAATAAGTGCGCTACACCACGCGCAACATCCTGAGCACTATGTGGCATTTTTAAGTTTAAAAATTGAATTAAGAAAACAAAGTTGAAAACTGAACCGTTTATTTCTTCAGAATTCAAAAAGAGATTGAATAAACATTTTATATTCCGTAAAAAGTAAACATTAAAAAATCCTTTATCCTTTTTTTGGATTAAGCATTAAGTATGTTTACTTCTAATGAATATTCCCAATTTAAAACATAGTATAAACAAATATTTATTGTAAAAACAATGAGACAAATTAAGGACATAATTTTCTTTTATCGAGAAAATAAATAAAAAAATCAATTGGGTGGAATTTTTGCCTGTCAGCTTATACTGAACCAAGTAATAAGATTTAAGAAAGACATTAAGAAAAGATAAGAGATTAAAATATATGTAAAATATGACATTAATTGGTCTATCTTTAATTTTATTTTACAATTAATATAAACTGACTAAACGTAAGAATTTGTTTGTTCATAATTAAAAATTTATAATTTGAAAATAAATTGACTAAAGTAAATCAAAGCTCGGATCGGATGGACATAGCGCACGAAATTTAAACCAAGTCCAAGCAAAATTATCCCAAATCTTCTTCTTATTAGGGATTAAACACTCTTGGTACCAGAGTGAAACGAGACGCAGTGACAGAAATCACAAATCAGTAAAGACAAACAACGTGAGGCAGAACAACGTGAGAGTCTTATTTCTTCAAGCTCAGCATAAAGGAGGAGTTCATAAAAGGATTCACCGGAAAAGGAGGATTTAACAGAAATGGCGGCCATTCCAACCAGAGAAGGTTCATAATAATGTACTCCTGAATAGGCCGTGTGACGCGCAGAGAGATTTTCATGAAAGGCAATGTGCTTCCATGCGGATGGTGGGAGGACTTGAGGATTTCAACCACTCTGTGGGAAAAGAATGGTTTTAGTTGATAAGGTGTCGGTTGTGAAGCAAGCACAATTCGATGAAGCTAAACATATTTCCAACTAGGATAGGGTTTTTTTACCAAGCTTGAAAGAAGCAGCGAGTCGAAGTACTGCTGCGTAACCTCTTTCCGATAGCAAGATTCCGATCTCTGACACAAAGCTCTACCAAAATTGAGATTGGTTTGTCATAAACAACATATTACGTAGCCAACTCGAACACTCCATCCTGACCACGCAAGGGGATGATGCATAAACAAAGATTTGAGGATGATAACCACTTTAAAAAATAACCAGAAATTACGAAGTTTTATTAAAATTAGACCTCGACGATCAATGCTGTCAAAAAAGCAATCAACATAAAATCCGTTTATGCTTTAAAATTCTCAGACTTATTAGATTCGACAAAACAAATAAATTGTCTCTAGTTGAGAAACATTTTCTAAACCACATTTGGTTTTCACTTAGTAAACCGTTAACTAAAAGGCTTTCATCCTGTTAAGCAATAAACCATAAAATATCTAGATCATACTATTTTTTTCCAACTTTATGTAAGTTACTATGTAATAATAATTTTTACAATTCGAAAAAATCTTATTGATATATTTCCTCCATTTTTATAAAGATTATAGTTGTTAATTTATTTCTGATGCTTAATTTTCTGGTTCTGGAAAATCAGTTAAGTATAAGCTCTAGAAACAAATTAACAACTCCAATTAAATAATTAATCTTTTTATGTAAGCTTTTGGCTGAAATGAAAAAGCTAGTATCACGAGCGGGATTCGAACCCACGACCTTAGGCTAAATACGCCGCTGCTCTACCACTTGAGCTATCGTGATTTCGATCCACTCGGACACCAACTCCCAGTCTCAACCTACAACCTTTCGAAATGTCCCTCCTTTTTTCTGTTTCTATTTTTTAGCTCAAGATTTATGTAATGAACCAAATGTCGATTACAGTTGGCGTCTCTCTGCTAGTGCCCAACTTGGAGCTGGTCATGTCAATCATAGGCACATTGTCCCAGTGCACCCTCGGAACGATCGTGCCCTGCGTCATACACTTTCTCACTTTTCACAAGCAGCCTCATCACTTCGGCTACGTGACCGCCTTCGCCAAGGACCTCATTGTATCAGTTTTCAGTGTTTTCATACTCTTCTATTCGCTCACCTCAGCGATCAACGGGGCACTCAAAGGAACTTAAAGGGTCCGACCTCGCTCTGCTGGCCAAAGAAGTCGGTTTGGACCTAGTTTGGATCTCTAAATGTACATTATCGAATTCCTGTGTAGTTTTCTTACAATTCATCCTTATTTTTAAACCAAATTTACTCCACAAAGGTGATTTTTTAAATATCTATGTTTAAATAGTCCTTGTTTTATTGGCTGCATTCCACATCACAATTTACTTCAAGCAAGTTTCTATATATTTCATCCAACTGAAGAAAATTGTAATTATTTTAGAATTAGTATTATTTTGTTTTATTTATTAATTTCCTCATTTATTCTTTCATTTAATTGTTCTCGTGTTCCTTATTTTCTAGCACTCTTTAATCCCCCTTTCTTTTTCTTTTCCTTGCTTGTCATTTTCTGTTTATTTTCTTTCACGATTATTTAAAAATGTTTTAAAAAAACGATTTTCAACGTTCTTTGTATCATTTAAATCGCACAAAATTTTGGATTTTTAGACATTCTCTTTTCTGTGATGCTTTTGTAAAATATCTGGCATTTTGATAGATGAGGCTGTTTCTTTTAACGAACTACGACGTAAATAGAATAATTACTAGCATATCAAAATCAGATTAAATAATCTATTATTATTAAATATTTCATTCATATCACTACTAGATTGTATCTAAATTCATTTCAGCAATATTCGCAATATTTTTATCATTTATATTATAAATTTGAAATTACCTTGAAAAATATTTATTATTTTAGTTGTATTAAATTATATTATTTTATTTAATTACGTTTCATAGTTAGTGTCACTAGGGAGTAAACTTGTAAAATAAGACTGTTTTGGAAAGTTTATCATTATTATACCAACCATTCTGTTTATTAGGAAGGGGATATCAGGAAAATAAATAAATTTAAATTTTATTTTATTATTATTATTTTTTTTATTCATCCTGAAACTCACTGAAATGAATTACTCTGGAGTAAACCTCTGGTGGTTCGTGAATATTCTTAAATAAACTGTGAGCATGGTATTTTTTCAAAAGACTTCGCCATGCGATCGGTTCAGCAAGGCTATCCAATACCACAGGTAAGAATTATTCATGTATGTGTGTTTCCTAGTGACCTGCTGTTTCATAATTTGTTGAAGTCGTGAGGAGCGGTCAAGAATGAGGTAGTTTAGAAAAACGCCCTTTTTCTGTGTGTTTTTTTGGATATTTCGACCTTTATTCGAGTCATCTTCAGGGCCTTGATAAATTACAAAACTTATTTTGATTGCAAAAAATGCAATTTAAGATGTAAATATAAATTTTGGATCAAATATTTTATACTCACATAAAGTGTGGCGCTATTCTTGCGGTGTTATATTGGTTTTATGTGAAACTTTCACACTTCAATAGCACCACAATTTATGTGCGTATGAATTTTTATATTTACTTCTTAAATTGTATTTTTTCCGATCAACATACATTTTGTAATTTACCCGGACCCTGAAGATGACCCGAATAAAGGTCGAAACGCAGCAAAACAATGGAAAAGGTGTTTTTCTAAAATAACTCATTCTTGATCACTACTCACACATCCAACAAATTATTAAACAACCGATCACTAAGAAACATACACGCTTTTGATAGTGTTGACCATTCCATTCTACTATATAAATTAGAAAAATTCGGCATACATGGTAACTTATTACGTTGATTTGAATCCTATTTAGAAGGTGGAATGCTTAAAGCAAAATTAAAATCTGTATTGTCGCATAGTTTTCTAGCAATCTCTGGAGTTCCTCAAGGGTCGCACATAGGACCTTTTCTGTTTAAAATCTATATAAACGATATCTCTGATTCTCTTCTTCCGTTATGACCTTACTTTTTGCAGATGATTTAAAAATATTCCTAAAAATTAATTCTGTTTCTGACTGTTTACAACTTCAACGTGCCTTAGTAAAAGTTAATAATCGGTGTTCAACTAACAATATTCTTTTAAATTTTGACAAATGTTCAGTTATGGCTTTGCATAAACTTCAACAAATTATTCATAAAGTTCGTCATTTTGGACATTTTGGTCACCCACAGGTTTTTGGCTTCTCGGCTCAATACCAATACAAATCATATTCGAAGACAGAATAAAAAACATATTAAATAAATATTTATAAAAGTTCAAAATTATCTTTTCGCTGAACCCACTTCCGGTACGTAAAGTATTGATAGTTTCCAGTCAGACCTTATTTGGTGTTTTACTAATAAATGATTTTAAAACGACAATGTTGACATCACTGCGAAAACATTCCAAGAAGTGTTCAATCTACGCATAATTACGTCGAATTAACCCATAACATTGCTATCCGCATTTTAAACTTTTATAGTCCTCAATAACTTTCATCGTCATTCATAGAGGTGACAGTATCAATTGACATGAAATAAGAATCAAGATTGATAAATTGATTTCAAGGATGTGTTAGTGTCAATTTATAAATTAGTGTAGTTAGTAAATTAGTGTTTTAAAATAATCCAAAAGAAAAACGTGAAAAATTAGGTACCATTGAATTTTAATCGGTGTTAATTAGTTAATATTCTCTGTTAATAGATTAAACAATAGATTTGAATCGGTAACGCAACTTTATACTCAATAGACATTCAAAAGAACAACTATCTATCAATTAATTAAATAACGTCGATTTTTACATTCTGAATTGTTGAAGGTCCATGTCTGTGGCCAAAATGGACTGTGGCCAACGGATTGGAATTTATTTTAGTTCAGTATTTCCAAGTTGGCCGGCCGGTAGAGTTCGAGTTTCCAGGGTTCGGTCATCAGGGGTAAGTAATTGGCAGTTCGTGTCATAGATTTTACTGACGTTAATGACATTAATCGCATTTTTAAAAAAAAGTGGAGAAATAAAGTTCGAGTGGAACAAATTTTCTTCAATTTGTTTAAATTACGACGTGTTTACAAGTACTCGCTGTAATTTGTCTCTTAAACTTCGTGTAGATATTTATTAGACGTACATCTGTTTCAAAAAATGTTTAGCATTGATCCTGGCGTTTATTTCTTCATTTTCATTCAAAATTGAATACAATTTTCTTCGCTTAATTATTGTAAATTGTTATCGGTATAATAACAATTCGCCAATTCAGAATTTTATATATTTTTTTTAACATCTTAACATTTTATTACGTTAAGTTTTTGTCTATATACCAAAATAGTTATAAAAGATGGGGCCCAACTGTCAAAGCAATGAATAATAGGTTAGATAAAAATACAGACCACACGTCAATTAACATCAACTGAAATAGACGTTCTAACGAAACGCCATCTATGGAGCTCTTCTTAGGACATGAAAACATTATTATGTAAGTACATAAATTTCAGGAATTATTAAATTACTTGTGAAAACACTAAAAAATCAATAATTTTTTCCGCTTAATAACAAACACGTATTTCATGTGATCATGTTAAATGCATTTGACTAGACTTAAAACAGTTTGAACATTTTCATAAGGGGTTTAATAATTAAAAATTACCTACAATCTGTTTGAACAGGCGGCCTATTTGAAATTTTTCAATTTTAGAAAATGTATCAGATATTTTTAAATTGTTCCAGAAAACTAATGCATTAAACATTCTTAGAAACATAGACAATAAATCGCTTTTTTCTAAAAGCTCAGTTTAAAAAAAAAATCAATAAACATGCCTACATCATCTATGCTTTTGGGTAAAAAGTTGAAACAGAACTATATTTATAGTGGTAATAAAAAAATTAAATATATAACATCGATCAAAACAGAAAGTTAAAAACAACATTCAATTCAATTGTAAAGTAATTAAGTTAACGAATAAGATAACAAATAATTTGTGGAGGAAGTGTATTGAAGTAAACAGAAAATGTGTCATATATTAGTTTAAAATTCGTACAATTAAAAAGTTTCATTTCAATTTTTTTTCAAATGGTTTTAATAATTAATTTAAAGGGCGTTTACCGGCTAACGACATTTTGCTCCCTCACTGATCTATTATTAACTTAGCAGTCTGTAGTCGTATTATTAACTTTTTAAAATTATTTCCTTGTCCCATCTGGGCATTATAAAATACACGCTTTGAATAGTTTTTCTATTTAATTTGTAATTATTTTTCGCGGGCACGTGGCAAGGATTTCTCATACCTACGTACAAATAGTATATATGTATGTTCATTAAATACACTACACGTAAAAAATTCCACCCGATTTATATTTTTTATTTTCTACATAAAAGAAAATTTTACCTTTAATTTGTCTAATTGTTTTTATCAATGAATATTTGTTTATGCTTTGTTTTAAATTGGGAATATCAATTAGAGGTAAACATACTAATTATTAATCCAAAACAAGAATAAAGGATTTTTCAATGTTTGCGTTTTACGGAATTTAAAAAGGGTTTCAATCTCATTTGAATTCTGAAGCAATAAACTGTTCAATTTGCATCTTTGTTTTCTTAATTTCAATTTTTAAACTTAAAAATGCCCCTTAGTTGCGCGTGGTGTGGCACTTATTGATGATTGATGTTCAATCAGGTATGCGGCTATTGCCATCGAGTTCGCTATGAAACGCTATGAGACGCCTTGGACGTTTTCGAGAAACTGGGTCCTCCCAGAAAAGGCCCGGTTCTGGATGCCCTGGGGTAACAGAACCACAGACTGAAAATTCTGCGAAACCGGCACGTTACAGTTGTACAAGCGATTCATCAGCTCCAGGAAGTTCGAGGTGTCCAAATTTCTGAACCCACTGCTCGAAGAAGATTAAATCAGTATGGACGGATTGCTTTTCGCCACGTAACAGGACCAGAATTGACCATAACACCCATAGTTGCAGGACTCGCATTTGCTCGAGAACACAGCCATTTGTCTTTAGACAATTGGTCTGCTGTAAGTTTTACAGATGAGTGTAGATTTAAACTCGCTATGTGGATGAAATTTTGGAAATCACACGTTGCCTATCCTCGATGAAATCAGCGACAGTGCTATTCTAATGCACGATACACAGCATAATATCATGGTCTCCTGGCCAGCCCGTTCTCCAGACTTGAAACCCCAACGAACATTTTTGGGAGAACCTCAAAAGACTAATAAGAGGACGTCCATCACTTCCTGATACACTCCACATTCTTCAAAGGACTCTTCGTGAAGAATGGGTTAACCACCAGCAAAGAGACATTTCCAGACTGGCAGAAAGTATGCCGAGGCTTCTTCCAGAAAAAATTAAGTCAAGAGGAGGAAATAAGTAATATTAAATGATAATTAAAAATCTGAAATAAAATTAAAACAAATTTTATCTGTCCGTCTTTTTTTTCCTTAGCAATTTATATTTTTTTTACTTTTTTAGACAAAGGCTCAATTATTAAATTTTAAAAAACGTGAAACTTTAATTAATATATAAGAATATAAAAATCAAGTTATATTACAAGTAGGTGGAATGTTTTGCCTGTCAGTGTAGAAACCTTTTCTTCTTTATAACTTTGAATTGTATTCATTAGTTTGCGTCGTTTGCCAAAAATCCATTCTTTAATTATACTCGTCGAATTCTTACTTTGTCTTTCTACGTATAATTAGCCGTTTATTGAGATTGTCTAATTTTAAAATATATAAAAAATTGAATTTCTTTTTCAATAATGTGTTTAGGAAGGGATTGCTTAACTCCCCTTGTAATATCGAGTATTCTGGGAAAATGAATGTAACATCTATGTTTGTGATGATGTATGATTATGTATTGTATGTTTTGTACCTATTCTGTAGTTGACAACGAGAAGTACAAATGAGAAGCTAGCATTTTAGGGTATTGGCTTAGTTGTCATATAAAAGCAAAGTAACAAATCGAGTCGCTGAAATGGCTTCAGGCTGAAAAATACTGAAAGACCGAAAAAAAAAGTTTTAAAAAACGCAGAGGACCGGCGATGACTTCAGCGGATTTTTGGCCCCTAAGTTTCCCCCATTATTATTTTATAAATTTTTTTTAAACAAATAAATTGAATACTTTACAGACTGTTAAATAGAAAAGTGTTAATGTACATAAATAGAGGGTAAAAAGAATATTAAATGGAGTACGTTTCCTGAAATTTGCTCTTCTCAAGGTTTGGAAATAGTAGTTTAGAATCACCACAGTAAGTTTTCAACTTTGAAAAAAAAATTTCAAAGTTCTCGCTACTAAATCGCTTATTTCACCAACATTTACAAGTTTAGTATTGATCACATTTTATTGGAAATTTAACCTTGTTTTCAATGGTCTCGACGGATTTGTACATAACCTTTTAGTTTTGGCGTAATCATTCCATACAGCACGCTTTCGATTAAATGCTGATGTCTGGAAGGTACCAGGAAGCTACAAGTTAAAACGGCAATAAATTCTAAATCGATTGTTGAGGGGATTCTAATAAAAACTAAAGAATGCCTTTTGCGATCAATGAATGGCATAAATTCATGAATGGTGGAAATATTTTCTCCAATGCTTTATGATTTTGTCGATCACTCATCACTCTGATTTTTCAAAATTTTAGTACGAATATTTGAATTTGTAAGATTCAGTTAATACCTAATTCCCTTTTCAGTAGATTAGTATAGAATAATAGATTAGTATATAAATTAATACTTTAATCAATAAATTATTGTTTATTGCCGTTTAACGAAAAAAATTGGTTTTCATTATTACATTTTTACACACGCGTACAAATATTTAAGTTGAGAACTTATGGTTATATTTTATATTTACAAAGTGCAAAAACACAATCAACTTTTGGTAGATAAACCAATTTTACTTTTGAAAATTTAGATACCAAATTTGTAACTATCTTGGGGATGACCTTATAAACAATAACTGTGCAAAACTGCTTTCTTTCTTTCACCTTTAAAGGCAGTTTTTAATTTATTTGTTTTGCATAATGAAAGTCGTTACATCTTCTTCTTACTAAAACAGAGGACATTTTTTTTTTTAATTTTAATAATGGGATTTTGTAAATACGAAACTTTCGATTTTCGTTTGTGAATATGTCGTGTTGGGCCCATTGCTCTAGTTTCTAAACTCGCTCATAATGATGTTTGGTATGCCTTTAATTATTCTGTCCTCGCCGCTTTTATTAAATCGAACCGTTCACTCTTTTTGAAACGTTCAACAACTGACAACTATGATATATCTTTAAAAAACGATCAATCGTTAAGAATCAAATTGAATACGAGAGTTCAGCCATTATTCCCCTCAGCCGAGATCAATTTTAAATTCGAATACTGTAAGCAAAGCGTGGATTTTGTAGGGCATTTATTGAAAATAACAATACAAAGTAAATTAATGACAAGAAAACGACAACAGAGTTCCCCAAACAAAATGAGTCTGAATTTTTTCCAAATATAACCTATGGTACAACCTCAAATCTTGTAATCACACAAAATAAAGTCGGAATAAAAAAACATTTGCAGATAAAAAGACAAACAAAGATCAGATACAAATATTTTATCCAACGAGGATAGGCAGATCAAAAAAAAATCATTTCTTATCTCAACAAAGTAATTAACTACGATATACAAGATTGGTGGATAGTATGAGGAATGCGGCTACCTCGACCTGACTAGATCTATTGTGGTCCCCTGTTATTTTATAACTCAATGACCAGCATCAGGTTGTTAATCACCTTCTTAGCCTTGTCAGCGGCTCCTTAGTGAAGGATCTTGCTTGTGCTTATCCTGTCCTAGTTGCAAGAATCTGCACCTACATAGATCTTCACAAAAACATAAAATGTGTACTGCGGTCTCCTCCTCTTTCTGCCAATATCTTCTGTTGGGTTTCTTCTGTCTGTACTCCTATCCGGTGATGTGCTTTTTTTAAGTGGCAATGTCAGTCAATCCAACCAGAATCCTAGTTCGGTTGCGGTTACTTTATATATTCCTTTGTAAGCTTTGCGGATGGTCCTTCTATGAATATCTTCGCGTGACTCAAGCCTGTGGTATTGTTACACTAGATTTTGGGATCATTAAGAGTCCACATTGAGATGTATCCTCTTTTGTTGCAAGATACTTGGCTCAGTAAGGTTCAAGACTAGGAGAGTCCATTTTGGCTCCCTCTTTGGCCAGCATGTCAAATTTTTCTACTCAAATGCCTCTACGCCCCAATGCCCAGGAACCCATGCCAGGGTCAGGTCATTAGTGGCGCTGACTTCCGCCAGGGTCCAAATATTCTTTGCCTTTACCTCGCATCAGGCTAAGACCTTTAGTGCTGCCTGATTGTTAGAGAAATTGGCTATCTTTTGGGAATGTATTCCTAGCCTTTTTATTTCCCTGGCGTATTGTTAAATCGCTATGATTTCATACTGGAAAACTGTAGCGCATTAAACTAGGTTTACCGTCAGTTCGGTCTTTGGATTAATCTCGAAGACTCCAGCCCCCATGTCCTTGTACCAGTAGGCATTTTCCTTTTGCGGTGTTCCATTAGCCCATTTTTCCCGTTGTGGTGTCAGTACCTGGTACGTTTTAATAGAATTGTATTTTGGAGTAGTGGTATTGATTGGTAGATCTAATATGGCAACTGCCTCTATCTCCTCCCTCAATTTCCGTTGATTATTTACATGGATGGCCTTTCCTTGCAGATGGTTGTCCATTTATGACCCTGCGGGCTGCTGTCTGGCTTCTCCTTAAATATGAAATGGTGCGAGGTTTAACAACACCTCCAGAGCCGCGGTTGACGTAGTGCTCATGTCTCCAGTGACACTGAGACAAGCTTGTCTTTGGATACCACTCAATAGCCTGATTGTTTTAGCCTGCAGAATCTTGGTCCACCACACCACTGATCCATATGTCAACATCGGTCTTAAGTCGCCATATATAGCCGTAGGGTCTTTTTGGGGTTTAATCTCCAGAGCCTTCTGCACCTACCCTAGGCAATTTTGTCTCTCTGAGTGGTTTTAGTTAAATGTTGATTCCATGTAAGTTGCTGGTCTAGTGTGATACCTAGATATTAGGCCTCCTTGGAAAATAAGATCGGGGACCCTTTCAGACTTTGAGTTTTAATCTTCCTATTGTCTTCTTTCATGTGAATGGAATCATTATGGGTTTGTTGTTGTTACTGTTGTTGTTGTTAATAGATAAATCTCACTTTTGCACCACCTGTCAACCAGGATGAGGTCTCATTGTTTTCGATCCATCACGATGTCTTCAGGGCGGCCAACTTTAAGCCAATAAGCAAACTTTACTACTATGACAAGGTATCCGCCTAGACAGTAGAATCCTGTTCCAGGGTTTGTAGGAGTTCATCTAGCAGCGTCGTCCACAGAAGGGGTGAGAGAACCATCCCCTGACTTTCCTAGCACGGATGGTCGCACCGCCCAAGGTGGATGTTATCATCATGTTCATTAAACCCTCTTCCATTCAATGGCACATATTTTCCGAAACTCCCTTGTTTTTGATTGCTCCATGTAAAGAGGTTGTGATGGTTAAAAGCTCTCTCTATATCCATAAAAAAGTGTAGCAGCTATCACCTTAGCTGAGAATAGAATTCTATGTGTGTATTAAATACCTCTCTTATCATTGAAATGCATTGAGTTCACTTATATCTCTCTTTTGCTGATAGTTCTCTACTCTACTTTCCACTTTTTTAACAAAATAAAGTCGTTTTTTCGAGAATATAATAGGTCCCCCCATCTTATGATGGAAGTATATTCTGGGTGTGCTAGGCTAGATGCGAAAACCTTTAAATCTCTAAACATAAAAGTATCGTTTTGCGTCCCCATGGTACACAAGTAGAATTTTACAAAAATTCCCCAAACAATATTCTCGAAGTTTTTTTTTCACTTTTATATATGATTTTAGAATCGTACGCATCTTTTGGCGAATCGATAATTGTAAAGATGTGATAAAAATAAAAAAACTGTCAAAGTAAAAGGTATATCGTGGATAGATTTAGTTCTCACTTTCACAGTAGTTTTTCTGTGCTGTAATATTTTAAATAATAAATCTGTTTTTAATTTTATAACATTACTTTCTTCTTTGCCCTTGCGTGCTTATTTATTAAATTTGCCAGCGAACTAACAGCAGAAAAATCATTCATGCGCGTGATTCACAAACTTATAAAGGAATTTCAAGAAAAATAGGTAGTGAAGAAAAAATTTCAGAGTTTAAATATCAGAAATGCTGTAATAGTTTATTTTATGTTATTTATGCTAGTTGCCATTGGTGTGCTGGATTAGACTTCGGTTCTCAAGTTCGTCAGGTTAGCGGTCATTGGTTCGAATCCCGACGTTGCCGAAAACTGTTCTTTTATGATTATAATCTAGTATAAATGATGTCCTACTCTCCCATCGATCAACTAATACCGTTCATGTTCCTGCGATGTGTTTCTGTTTGCCTGTTAACACTTTTTTTCGCTTTTGTTGACAAATTCGTTCTTTCGAGTGGGGTGGAAGAGAAAATTTGAGCAGAGGAAGAGAATGGATGTCGTCCCCACCACCTTCGACTTTCCGGCTGCTCCCGGATACGACACAAATTGAGGAGATTAACTCGGGCCAGACCTCAGTCGGAGAGGATAGGATCCAGTCGATCATACGATCATAGTCGTCGACACAAGTTCTATCCGTGTTTCACCCTGATCTAGTATTGTGAGTAAATCAGAAATATCTCGTTAGAAGGCGAACACCGGTTGTCAATAAATTGTGTTCTGTAAAATAATTAACAATGTTAAACGAAAAGTTTAAATCTTAAGTATATTTATTAACTATATTTTGCTTATTTATTACATTGTCGTTATGTCTTATTAGAAGTTGAACTTAATTCCATTGTGTTCTTAAACAACTAACATAAACAATTTTTGTAAAGTCCTCGTTCTTTCAACGCGAAAATTGCCGTAAATTGAATTGTGAATTAACCTTCTATTTCCGTCCAAAATCGAAAGAATATTATTGAACATTAGCATCCTCGTGGGAAAACATTTTGACAGCTTATTTATGACTTAAGATTAAATAATAAAATAATTTAGCCAGTATCAATGATCAATTAATTCTGTTCTTCTGCAGCAATCACAATTGAGCTCATTTTTAAACAATATTTTTATTTGTCAACATATTCCAAGGGTCAGATACATTTGTGGTATGTCGAAACGGATCTACATTGCTGTCAAGAAAAATTTTAATTTTAAATTCAAAAAGTTTCTAGGCAAACCAGAAAAAAGTATCATCTGAAGAATATTGGTAAGTTATCTCAGCAATGCATTCTTCCTTTTATTTTACCCTGTATTCAAATAAATATTTTCGATCATGAATATTTTTCATTTTCATTTTTCAATTTTGTAATTTCAATTCTATAAGACGTAAAACAATTAAAATATGACAATCCCTTTTTTCATATTTGTAACATTACAATAAATTAAGGAGCATGAATATTTTTCATCTTAATTTTCAAAGCTATTTCAATTCTGTAAGACGTAAAACAATAAAATGTGACAATCCCTTCTTTTATATTTGTAAGATTAAAACAAATTAAGGTATAAAACATCAAAAAACAATTTGAACAATATGTCGATTTTTACTGAAAGTTTTGATAAGGATATAATTACATTACATATTGGAAAAAAACCACATGGGAATTGATAATAATTAGGGTTGGTTAAGGTTTATTTTATACACTCATTATTACTTGTTATCCAATTGAAAGCAGTTGTAAAATATTGATAATAAATTTTTTTTTAATTGAGGCTGCGTTCTGAGAATGTAGATATCAAAAACTATGATAAACCTCACGACTTCCTTTTTAAAATGAGCTCTTCCTTTTTCCTTAAATAATTAGGTTGGCCTAGATTTTAAATTACAATGGTATTAAGTAGGTAGAAAAACATTCTGGGCGAATTATATAATCCAAAGACTATTAATAATTATAATCTTTACATCAAAACAAATAAACAAAATAGTAGATAGTCAAAATCATAGTCACCGGGATCGTCGTAAATATAGTTCTTGAGTATATTATGTTAATTATTAACGTTTACGGGGGAAATGTGCTTATCCGTTTTTATTGCAACGAAGCTTAAGCGAAATTTGTCCGGTTGGGCCTTTTGAAAATTTGGATCCCGCACCCTGGGTTGAGGTGTTGTTCGAGCCGAGGGGTCGACGCCAGTGATGGAAAACAACTACGACCTCTTTATCGATCTAAAAGAATCGATGATCCCGAAATACCCTCATTCGGATTTAGAGGGGATTTAAAGCATGCCTCGGCCAAAAGAAATAAACTTTTACTGTTCTAACAGACATTTTTCGGGTCGTTGCCATGTCATGTATCAGATATAATATTATAAAAGATAAAATCATGAAGCTTAATTCAATAAAAAAAATCTTTAGGTTTGAATATTTAAAAAATTTTCTAGACCATTAAATCAGGCAGCAGGGTAAAGTTTCTCCCGGACAGCCGACGCCCAATTTGCATTGATTAACAACGTCCCTCAATTGCCCGACATAGCGATACTGTCGTGCACATTAACACGAGCATAAATATCTTCAAGAGAAAAATGATCTTTGACGAAAATGGTATAAGCTTCCGAGCAAGAAGTATTACCATTATTAACCAATTTCCTCTTGGACATGTCAACGACTTAAATTTTCATGGTTAAAATTATTTTTACAAAGCAAGCTAATAAGTCTGGGTTCTTCTGGTTTGTTAATCAAGAAAAATTGAGTCATAAGTGCACAATAACCCTTAAATATATAATTTCAAAACATTTCAATTTCAGATTTAGAGCCGTTTAAGTTTTAACTTTAATAGCCAATTTAAAGTTTTGTTTTTACGAGATATTAAAATTTAACTTTTTCACCAAAATAATATGGTTAAAAAATGGACTTTTTCAACAAAACTAATATTTTTTTACCGTAAAATAAAAGTATATTCAAAAGCCTATTATGCTCCAATATAATTAGTCATTGGTCACTTGCTCTATCACACGATACGGTTAAACTCTTGCGCCGCACTGTCGCACTTTTCAAAATTGTAGCATCGGCCAAATATTCCAATAAATAAGATTACAAAGTTTTCAATCCCACGTTTCTGCCCTTTTTTACGTAAACAGTAATACACTTCACAGAGATTCTCACATGCCTACAGTTTTTTCATCCATCAAAATGTATTACAGACGTTTTCATAGTAAATTACAAAATCGAACTAACACATAAATACGATTACTCCATTCCCCACAATTACTACATAAAGTCTGAAAAGAATATGGATAAGAGACCTCTTAAATGACTACATCATTTCATCATCATTCCAAAATTCAGAGCGGCTGCCAATGGGCAGCTTTCTTTATAACGCACGTAATGCCACAAACATAAATTATCCAATCTGCTGGCAGTATATAACACATGAAAAGTTGTAGATACAAACAAATGAAATTTTTAAAAAAAATTTAACAGAATAAGATATTTGAATTATACTTTCAATATTAGAAAAGATTGTCACTAGTTTCCACCATTTCAGAGGATTGCTGGAAAATGAGTTCATGTTGAACCTCTGTTCTTGTTCATCTTGCTCGTGATGTTTAGTTGGCAACTAATAGTGACTTTCGACACTCCCTGGAATATACGCGAGTACTTATGGCCGATTGTTTTTTCAACAATTTGCTGTAAAATTTTAAAATTTCCTCCTGTGTCCTGCGAGATGATAAACCAATTGATTGGTTGTTATTTTTCAACCCGGTCTACCTGTGCTCGCTGATTGTTGATGGATCCGGACGCGTTTCGTCACTTCGCCATCTTCAATATTTTGACGATATATGTTTCTTTTAATTGCTGTGAACCCCTTCAACATCCCTGAGCCCTTCTTCATTTCGTAGGATGTATCTGCAATGTCCCATTCATTGTTCAAACCAACCGCCGGCCGTGTGACCACTTTCCTTTCCTTGTTAATAAATTTTGATTTGGTACGATATTTTTTCCTACAGAATTAATTGAACTAACCCTTTACTGAGACAGTCAAATATTAATAGATATGCTTAGTGTTCCGTAGGAGCATATTAATTATTTAATTAATTAATTACGCACAATTTTTTCGAAATGAAAAATTTGTGTCACAGGCGGGATTCGAACCCACGACCTTCGTCTAAATACGCCGCTGCTCTACGACTTCATCTACCGTGACTTCGATCGCCCATGCCACAAACTTCTCACTTAGACTCCCCATTTATTCCAATTAATTATTGGTAGATTCTAAAGAGGATTAACATATTTAACGTTCTTGCAATTGGTTCATTTAATAAAATGGTTATTTTTTTATTACTAGCGTATTTTATCGATCAAACTTTACATTAGCAATTAACAATTTTAAAAAGAATGAGTAAAGAATGAGTAAATAGGCATTTATCACCTGACTGGATTACAAATCAATTAAGAAAAAAAACAAGTCTATTTCTTCTCGACGCGGACGACACCGCAATCTTATCAACACACTCCAATCCTATCCTAGCAACAGAAGCACTCCAACAACACCTGAACCTTATTACCAACTGGTGCAATCTGTGGCGGATCAGGTTAAACGAACAAAAAAGCCAACACGTTACATTTACGCTCAAACGACAAACCTGTCCACCAGTGCACATTTACAACAAAATAATACCACCATCGAACCAAGTCCGCTACCTTGGGCTTTACTTAGATAGTAGACTTACTTGGAACCCACATACACGATTAAAACGGCAAGAATTTAACAAAAGATATGGACTACTCATACACCTTCTTGTACCAAAATCAAAACTAAGCATACATAACAAACTAACCGCTTACAAAACACTCATCAGACCTATTTGGACCTACCGAGTCGAGCTGTGCGGCTCGGCCAAATCATCCAATATCCAACGAATTCAGTCTTTTCAATCTAAAGTTCTCCGTCGTATCCTCAATGCTCCCTTCTACGTCACAAATCAAACGATCCATAAAGATCTTAAAATCCCTTTCTTGAAAGATCTTATCCATATACGCTTCTTCACTTTTCACTCTAAACTCTCCCTCCATCCTAACTCACTAGCCCTAACTCTTTCCTCAACATCTCACCCTTACAATCCTCCACGCCGTTTAAAACGACGATGGCCTCGTGACCTTCTATCTAACCCACCAAATTAACTTTTACTCCCCCCCCCCAATTAAATAAAAGTTGGTTTCTCTCCCCACTGCCTCCTGGTCTGACAGGTCTGTCAGATTAGTTTATAACTAACTATTTGCTCAATGTATATTATGTACAAATAGCAATAAATAAAATAAATATCTTAAAAAAAAAAAATGTCTTCTCGATGTTTCCGATCTGGCTTTTACTCGATGGCCTCCTTGTTGCCTTTTGACCTTTTCTTCATGGAAGGAGATTTCATTGTCCAATGCACCCTTCAAATTTTCCAATTGCTGTTTTTACTGTTTGTAAAAATACTTTTCCTCATGGCAACCTCTTTTTTTACCAAAAGATCCTCCTGTGCTACGGATAGCACCACCTCTTCCCCCTCCTTTGCCTGCCCAGGATCCAGTTTGCTCATAAAATGCAGATCCCTCAGAGAGGAAATGCTTTCCAAAAGCTTTCCAGCTTTTCTGGGCGGATGATATTACAAAAGAAATAGTTGGAAAGGAGAAAAGGCGCACTTCAATCCGACAGGGCCACTTAGTTTCGATTTAGAACTATTTTCGTAATACATATGAAGAATTAATGAAGTCTCAATTGTTTTCCGTCTCTTGAGGATCTTTCTACATCTTTCGTCATTGTATTTTTTTAAAGTGTTTGTCAACTACCATAGATTAAAGGACATTCATTTAAGTAAACGTGAAACGGATCATACCAATTTAATAATAAATTTAGAGTCGCTATCTTTAAATTTTTCAGCCAGGCGTAAAATTATTTATCTGTGCTGATTTATTTCACACCCGAAGTTATGTAGTATTGTAAGAAATCCAAGTCAAAAACTTGTAATATTATTCCACAGATTCCATTGATGAATACTTTCAAAAAGCAACCTTTTGGCTATTGCCATTGGAGTTCCCTACGAAACACTGCGAGACGCCGTCAGACGTTTTCGAAAAACTGGGTCCTACCATGGAAGGCCCGGTTCTGCATGCCCTAGGGTAAAAGAACCACAAGACTTTGAGAATTTTGCAAAACCGGCACCTTACAATTGTTTAAACGATTCAGCAGCACCAGGAAGTTCGTGGTGTCCAAATTTCTGAACGCACTGCTCAAAGAAGATTAAATCAGTATGGACTGATGGCTTTTTGCCCCGTAAGAGGACCAGAATTGACCAGGACACGCATAGCAGCACGACTCGCATTTGCTCGAGAATACAGCCATTGGTCTTTAAACGATTGGCCTGCTGTAATTTGTACAGATGACGATAGATTTGCTCTACGATTTTCCGGTTTTGCGTGAAAGAGTGTAAAGAAGGCGATATGAAAGGTACAAAGCTTGTAATTTTAACCAGAGCCTACCTTTTCAACGTAGCTCGGTGATAGTGTGGGCGGGAATTTCAATAGAGAGTCGCACAGAGTTGGTTTTTATTCGTGGAGGGTCTTTGACGACCACTCGCTGTGTGGATGAAATTTTGGAACATCATGCGTTGCCTACCCTCGATGAAATCAGCGACAAACCTATTCCAATGCACGGTATTGCCCGTTCACATGTTGCTCGCATAGTACAAACGAACCTTCATCATCATAACCTCATGGTCTTAGCCTGGCCAGTTCGTTCTCCAGACTTGAATCCGATCGAATTTTTATGGGATAACCTCAAAAGACGAATAATAGGACGTCCATCACTTCCTGATATACTCCACGATCTTGAAAGGACTCTTCGTGAAGAATGGGCTAACCTCTGCAATGAAAAATTTCCAGACTGGTAGAAAGTATGCCGAGGCGTCTTCGAGGTGTAATTACGACAAGTGGAGAAAAACGCGATATTGAAATATTAAAAACTTTTATCTGTCCTTTTTTTTCCTCGACAATTTACTTTTTTTTAACTTTTTTACATACAGACTCAATTATTCGATTAATATATTAACATATATACAAATCAAGTTATATTACAAAGGAAACTGTAGTGGCCACTTGTAGCTACCACAAGTCACCGCTAGATGCCACTACGACTTATGGAATGTTCTCGCCCTCCACACTGCAGCCAATCAGAGTAGACTACTTCCTATATAAGCAGGGGCACTGCCTCTTTGCAGCAGACTCTTCAACCCGACGAGGTCTCACACATCACTAATACACGACTCCAGGAGACTCGTCAACCCGACGAGGTCTCACACATCACTAATACACGACTCCAGGAGACTCGTCAACCCGACGACAACAAGTATTCGATGCATCAGCCTGATCTCGCCTTCTAACAGCCGACTTGGCTATAAACGCCAAACGCTGCTCTCGGCTAATCGCTGCATCTCAGAACCTTCGGCCTCTGTGGAGTCAGCCGACTCACGGCCCCCGGACCTCAGCCAACGGTACTCTCACGGTCACAGACCATCAACCAACGGCGCCATGCATCGGTCGCGGCCTCGATTCGTCGGCCCTCCTACTCCACTACACAACACCGGCCCTTTTCAGGGCCACAAAACTCCCAGTCACTAAAGAAACGAATGAACTTTTATTCCAAATTCTTTTTCATTTTGCTGTGATGAGAACGAACCTAAGACTCACTGACGATGTGGAATGACCGCAACCCACCTGGCCAAAAGTTGTAATAGGCGGACCGTGATAATCGTAGATGCTATATAAATTAAACATGTTTTAATAAATTTTTCCTGAAGAAAAACGTGTTTTTATTTTCGACTTTGTTGGTGTCTTACTAACAAGTCAAACTGGTAACATGGTTCACATGAAAGAATTTTGGTCTATTACAAGGATTTTTCATCATAGATGGCGCGTAAACGCCCATTGTGGTTTCAGACTTACATTTTTCAAGATTTTTCGTTTTTGGTCGTGATATTTTCTTATATAAAAACTGGGTTCAAATATCTAATAAACAATACCAGTCGCTTCCAACAAATGGACTGTACATGTAGATAATCCAAAAGGCCGAGCTGCTTTTATATCGAGCAGTCCGTGGCGCAAGCGCTTTTCACCGAGACCCGTTCGTTAGCTGACAATTCAAGGGAGAAGATGGATGTGGACAGAGTGTGGATCTGAAGAGGCGAGTATACTTTCTACACAAATTCGTCTTCTTTATTTCCTTGCTTCAGAGCGTTTTGCCAGTTTGTTCTATGTGCCTATTTTCACAAAGGGACGATCTGTAGTACAATATGTCGAAGAGAAACTGTCAATGCCTGGAAGAATGAGTAGAGATATTATTTTAAATCATTCCATCAATTCAATCATCTTCCTCACTACCTCCCTGTGTGTGTTGTGTGTGTGTGTGTGAGTGTGTGTGTGTGTGTGTGTGTGTGTGTGTGTGTGTGTTGTGTGTGTGTGTGTGTGTGTGTGAATGTTTCAATAACTGATTTATTTTTGCATGCTCTACATTATAATGTTACAGGCAATTAGCAATACACATTTATGCTTTTAGATCTATATAATCAAATCACACTTTGAATCTCAACAATGAAATTATAAGTAATTTGAAATATAAAATAAATAACTTGTAATTTACAATAAAGTTTTTCTAAATGAATAGTTTATGAAATCGATGAAAATTGTACTCTATTGACTGTGGTTCATTATAGCAATTTTATCGGGAGGCCAACGAACGAGTAATATAAATGGAGCTCTTTCTCTAATAAAGAGTGTACACTAAAACAGGATATGAGCTCATGTCTTCCATGCTAATCATTAAAAAGGACCACGGGATCCTGCAGTACTTAGAAAAACATTTTGTTTATCGTGCCAACGTTTCGATCTTTATTGAGATTATCTTCATGGCTCAAAGTGTTTGTTTTCCGTGTAGATGTGTCATTCTTGTCTGTCGTGTCGAGAGTGCTATGGAGATGACAGTACTTGGTGCATCACATAAGTCAAACGAAGACTACACTTAATTCTGAGCCGTAGTGGGAAAAAAACTTTTGCATGATGAAATTTTTTCAGCGAGCGGCCTGACCCGTTTACCACCGGATCCACTGCGAGGAGCTCCTTGTACCCATAAGAACGCAGGGCACACCCTTTTTGCAGTTCGGGAGGTTTGGGGGTATCCTTTTTGGAACAGTACCTCTACTTCGAACACGTGATAGGCCTGTAATTTTCTGGTCTCGGATGCCCAGACTTCAACTACAAATACATTGTGCATATCAATAGATGGTGAACTTAGCTAGTTTCTTATTACAGTGATAAATTTTTCCACCATTTCAAAATAGCTTTGAAAGGATTCTTCTCGGGAACTCAGATGTAATAACTACAAACTCTATCATTCAACCCTGCACAACTCCTTCTTTCTTATTCCAACCAGCTCGTTCGGGAGCTACTGGGTCAGACCAGATGGACTCCTAGTATCGCTTTTTAATTTAATTTTTTCAACCAGGTTGTCAGGGATATCGACTTGTAACTTGTTGCCAGATTCAGGCCCTTGCTCTCCTTAAAGAAGGAAATATCATGTGTCTCATCATCCACATGCGCTGCCAACGGTTAGGCCGTACGCAAAATGTAGAAGGATTTCAAAAAATCGTGATTCGTACCCTGAAGGTTTCGAAACATTTCATTTCGGATACCGTCACACTATACCATACCAGTTCTCCGACCGTCAGCGGTTAAACATTCTCTTCACAGCCGTCGAAATCAATCGTGATTCTTTCTGTCCCGGTTTTTATCCCACGAAAATAATTTACTGATTTATTCTTTAACATCTCAAGTCGTATCACTGTTCGTGATGAGAAGGTTTTTAAGATTTTTCGCAATCTCAGAATATTGCATTGAGATGATGAAGAAGAACTATTGGCAGAGCATTTATATTTTTTTAAATTAATGAATGTAAGAGGCGAATATTAATGTACAAAATTATGATGAATACATTACTATTTTATGTACAGTTGCTAAAATTAGCCCTGAAATCAAGGTAATTGAGGGACTATGAAATTAATAAATAAAATATTTGTAATATTGGGCCCTGTCGAGAAAGTGGGTAATTGCAGGGTCTCGTTTTGTTGATTAAAGAATTTCAAATTTTATTGAATTGCTCGTCTAGTCACAGTAAGTCAAATTTATTTTCAGTAGGCGGAGAGCTCGCTTGACCCTCGACCACGAAAATGCCGGAGAAAGAAGAGGCGTTCAAGGAAACAATCGCCTTGACATCGCCGTAAGTACGCATCCGACCCGACGTCTGTGTTCGAAATTGTCTAACTGTGTACAATTTCAGAGGTGGTAAAAAGACCACGACGATTGTAGAGAATGGTGAGGAGTACGACCCTCATTTACACCGACAGGTCGAGCACCCGACCACGTAAGAGAGAAATATTAATAGTTTTTTAATCATCAATATTTCAATATTACTATGTTGATTCATTTTTTTTTGTTTATAGTAATTTCGAAACATTGGTCCATTTGCTCAAAGGATGCCTGGGAACTGGAATTCTGGCCATGCCGGACGCCTTCAAGAACTCAGGCCTGGTCGTTGGCACTGTAGGCACGGTATTAATCGGCTTTGTATGTACATATTGCCTTCATGTCCTGGTATGTTTCTAAAGTTAAATACCTATTAGTATTATCTTATGTTTATAATCTCTAAACATTTTTCATCACAGATCAGGTCCCAATACATATTATGCAAGAAACTGCGAGTACCCCTCCTGACCTACCCCGAATCGATGAAAATCGCTCTTGAGCAAGGACCGAACTTCTTGAAGTTTCTCATTCCGATTGCCGCGTAAGGTTTGATGAAATGGTATTTGCTGAAAAGGTACATTCCAGTTTTGTAATGGGGTAATTTTCTTTTTCTGGAATTTCCAGACCTCTTGTGGACATATTCATAACACTGTATCAACTCGGTATCTGCTGCGTCTACGTCGTATTTGTGGCAGAGAGTGTGAAAGAGGTAAATTTTTGCTTGTGTTTATGTAATTATATAATTTCATTGTTTACTTTTTTTTAATTGGAGTAATCATGGTATTTTTTAACAATTGTTAGATCGCAGATTTCTATTGGACTGAACTGGATGTGAGGGTTTGGATGATGATAATACTCATTCCGCTCATCGCAATCAACCTAATAAGGAACTTGAAATTGTTAGCTCCGTTTTCTTCATTGGCCAACGTCATTACTTTCATCGGACTCGCTATCATCTTATACTACATATTTTGGCCGGAGTTTCCATCTCCCTCAACCGTGGAGGCATTCGGGAAGGTCCGCAATTATGCACTTTACTTCGGAACCGTCCTATTTGCGTTGGAGGCTGTTGGAGTGGTCGTCGCACTCGAAAACAACATGAAAAACCCCAAAGCCTTCGGCGGCTACTTCGGCGTATTGAATCAAGGCATGGGCCTGGTAACGTTCATGTACATGTTTGTCGGCTTCGTCGGGTACGTCAAATACGGTGACAAAGCGAGAGGCAGTGTTTCCCTTAACATACCGAACAACGAGATGTGAGCATATCATCAGAGGGAAAGTGGATTCTGAGAAAACTTATAAAACTGATTTATGGTTTCAGCTTGGCGCAGGGTGTCGTTTTAGCGTTTGCCATAGCCATCTACATATCCTACGCCCTCCAGTGTTACGTTCCGGTGCAGATCATATGGAACACATGGCTCAAAAAACATATTGACGAATCGAAACAACTCATGTGGGAATATATTTTGAGAATCTTGGTTGTTATCGCCACACGTAAGTACCAACTTTTAACTATGGTTTCTTCTGCAATTTTTCCATAACTCAATTACTTACAGTATTATTGGCTGCGGCGATACCGAGGCTGGGACTTTTCATATCTCTTTTTGGGGCCCTCTGCCTATCCGTCTTGGGTCTCATATTCCCTGCCGTGATCGAGCTGTGCACTCTCTGGCCCGATCAGCTCGGAAAATACAACTGGATCATCTGGAAAGATGTCCTGCTCGTCATTTTTGGCTTCGTAGGCCTTATCTGCGGGACGGGAATCACTTTAATTGATATCGTCAACTCTTTTAAATAAAGCGAAAAGAGAGCGATAACGAATTTCTGAGTTAAGGAATAGCTGGACGTATCGAGATATGTATTGATTGAGCCATGATTGATTTCCACTTTAAGCCTTATCGTTTGGCAATAACGTCACAGAGAAACTCCAGGCCATGGAAATATATTCACAAACAAAACAGAAAAAAGAAAAAAAAAAAAGAATAACTTCACTGCTCAATCTACTTATGTATACATACAACACAATAAGTGTACATTCAAGTTGTTAACAACGAATGTTAAATAGCAAATTTGAGTAATGTAGTTTACAAAAATTTGAAAAGACAAAGCTAATTTTTACTAACTAGGTACTGTATATTTGTACAAGTCGGTTGGTAGGATAAACATCCGCGGTTCAGTAAGACTTGAACGGAGAGACTCGAGCTAAAAATCATGACTTTTGCCAGATTGTTTACATATCAAATATGCTGTAAGACCAAACTCTATCGATAACTGAACGACTAAAGTTAAAGTAAATTATACACCAAAAACAATTTCGAAAAATAATTGCAAGGATCAGCGGACGGAGAAATTGAACATAACTATTTTTCCAAATGGTGTTATTGTATAGCAAACAACTTAATTAGTTTTTTATTTTATTTTCTCCAGCTTATCTAAATTTTGAGCTGTGGCTCTCTATTTCAATCTCAGTTTCACAAAAAGTCCTTATTTCAACCCTTCAAGTTTTTTATATATGTAATACAGTTTTCTGCGGTCATAATTAAATAGCGAAATCCAATATCTAAACCTAAATTGATAATGTAATAACAAAACGCTTTTTATGCTTTTTAGTCGATTTATAGTATCTATTAGTATCTATTAGGCAATCTCTGATGTCGTCCAGCAAACTAGATTTTAGTTTTAAGAATAAAACTCGTATAAAAGTATAATAAATGTATTTATTGGATGTTATCTATGCCATGCATAGAGTAAAATTGTTTACTTACTTTATAGCTACTTTGAGTAGCCAAACGGTAGATGAAATTTAACCAATTCTGTGTAAATAGAATGTAAAATATTGTTAAATAAATACTGTTATAAAATGGCTTGGTTGTTTATTTATTTCTTTGATCTTCTTGTACAAACCATAAAGAAAGCATGGTAAAGAATGTTCCAAGTGAAAAAGTAATGGTTGGAATTAGACTAAAGTAATTTATAATAAATATTGATTGTTTGCGCCGAAATAAATAGTTTTAAGAACTAAAAAATGTATTTGTTTAATATTAGATTTATTTAAATGTAATTATTATTTTGTTCCGTTTTGTTTATATATTTATTTTCAACATGTATTAAAACAATCATAGATTTAATATAAGTGATATAAGTGGCATTAAAATACGGTTGGCTCTGCAAACAAACAATATCTAGTAGGCCCGTTTTTTCGCTTGGGGTTTGATCTGTGCGCACCTACGCTGTTTTCGTTCCGTTACCTAACCTATTAAATGTTTGTCGCGAAGTGAACACCTATTGGAAAAAACTGATAACCTCGGCGAAGGCATCACGCACGTCACCTGATCCCCGACCATCTGAATCTGACCTCGATACCTACCTCTACCTCGATCTGAACCAGTTCAAATAGATGAAGATTTGCTACCTACCTCAAACCATCAGCTGAGTAAACAAACAAACAAAAAAAAACTTCTGTTTTAGCTTTTAATAATATTGTAATTAATTTACTTTGTTAAGTTTAATATTCCAATTGTTTGTGTTTAAGAATTTAGTTGTAAATGTAACAACATTACAATTTTATGTACAAGTACAATTATAGTATTGATTGTTTATAAACTATATTTTTTTACTTGATTATCTCTCCAATTCACATTCAAATTCCTGGAAACGGATTGGGAGGTACGCTAATAATTGCAGTAAAGCCCCTCCCGCCAACATTGATCTTAATTGCAATTAAACATATTTTTAACACATGTTAAAGTATAATGGATGAAAATCATTATTGTAAATAAATTTCCTTTGGGCTTATTTAAAAGGGGAAATAGTTTAAAAGCATAACTAGATGAAGTAAAGAAATATTAATAGTTAAATTACAATTTTATATGGCCGAGGCGGTAAAAAGTGTAAAGGAAGTTAAATATTAGCATATCAGTTCATTACCAAACTGAATCTTAAGCAACAACCACATTCAAAAATAAAATTTATACATAAAATGTTTGACTTTTGTATATAAAATGACATCGACAAAAAAATTAATCATCTGAGCAGAAAGAATTTCCGAAAATTTAAATAGCCAATTTAGCTCACAGATGTAATATTAACATATGTAACACATTTTTTGAAGGAAAAATCAGTAGTGTACGTTGTTTTTTTTTTAACGTTTATATGCGTTTAACGCATACCCATAGAAGAAATGGACGAATACAATCCATATGATCATCGCAGTATCGCCAATCCCACAACGTAAGTTCTTACGTCCTTTTACTCTACCTACTTTATCTTTTTTTTTATCTTGCTAAGCAATAAACTTGGTACTATCCAATCAATGTTGTATAATTCGACTGACTATAACGACTACTGAATGTGTACAATGATGATATTGACTCTAGTTTAGATGAAGTCGAACACAGGTTCGTCTTATTTTTTTGGTTAAGTCAATCATGAAGGACTCATACATAAGTTTATAAAAGTCCTCCCAGAAAACTAAATGCATCCTCAATGTCTACGTTGCTGACAGGTATTTCAAAATTGAGCAATAAAATGCCTATTTGGAATCCAAGCCGGTCATCGCAGGTTATCACTGAAGTATGTGTCAGGACGAGATCTATTACCTTCTCTACAGTAACGATATAATAGAAAATTAGGTAAATACTACGGTTTCTTTTACTGATCAGGTTGATAGGGAAAGTAGTGCTGGATTGAAATGAAAAAAGTAAGCTTAATCCCCCAGTCTCCAGAATTTGAATCAGGCTGGAGGAAGGAAAATCTGTGTATGCAGACATTGCCAACTGAAAATATAATACTTTCCAACTCATACTTTTCAATACTATTCGCCAATAATGCCATGTATGATGTTGGTACAATAGAAAATGCCAAGAAAAATCGTGACAAACTCAATATTGAGTACTTGGAAGTATTCCCCAACGTTCAAAAAAGCAGTCTTTACCACCAGATGCTCCAGCCCAAATGGCCTTAGACATCCAGCTCTATAGTTATACAACAGATTCGATTGAATGTACTCCTTGGTGACTTCGAACTGAATTGATGACCTCCACCACGAATTTAAGTTGGAAAGAATCGAGGAGCCAAAGCCGACCAGGAACGCCTTAATATGTCAACATTTAACATATAAAAATTATCCTTGTTTAAACTACATTGTAATAATAAAATACGCTAACCTGATTTGAACAATATTCGCCTTTTCAGGAATTTAGAAACTTACATCCATTTGATCAAAGGATGCCTCGGTACAGGAATTTTGGCGATGCCCGACGCTTTCAAAAATGCAGGTCTTCTTATGGGAACCATAGGAACCATTTTAATGGGGTTCATCTGCACATATGGGATCCACGTTTTAGTAATTTCAACCAATCGTCATCATTGTATTATTTCTTTAGTTAATGGTTTTCTAATAGATCAGATGTCAATACATATTGTGCCAGAGGATGGAAATCCCACTATTGACCTTTCCTCAAGCGATGAAAATAGCGTTGGAACAGGGACCATTATGTTTAAGATGGCTGGCTCCCGTTGCATCGTAAGTCTATTAATAAATCTATACATATGTATATACAGGGTGTTCAAGCTAATGCGCCCACCCCATTTTTTTTCTTTGCGGTTCTAGATAGGAAAAAAGTATGTAGAATAATTGAGTGAGACTCCCCTTCATTTTTCATGTAGTTTGTTCATGAAAGTTCGATTTATTTTTTACAGGGTTCTTGAAATAATCCTAGATGGATGTCCGGCACATAATACCAATGCAGTTCGGCACTTACAGTGAATGTTTCCTAACAGGTGGCTTGGTAATCATTCCCCTTTACAGTGACCTCTATGCTCCCCTGACCTTACACCTTTAAACAATTTTTTGTGGGGATATTTCGAGAACCGTGTTCACGGTGGTGTTTTGAAACCCATCACTAGTCGTGAGGAACTGAGGAATAGAGTTGTGAAGGCTCTCTTGACAGGGAAGCCGTACTGTGTGCGATGAATGGTTCAGGCAATCGGGGGCGTGCATCTTTCAACAGGGTCGACATTCATGTTGAACCGGCACACGGGCACTACTGGGTCTGTCTACACTAGCGATTTTTTGTTTTGTTTTTTTAGTTATTCAAACGCGTTTCGGCATTACGCCATCTTCAGTGAAAAACCCGCGAGTGTAGACAGACCCAGTAGTGCGAGAGTTCTCCAACTCGCAGACCAAACCCAGGGTTTTTTTCTACTTTTTATAAGAAATTGAAGTTTGAGTTTTAGGAAATTGAAACTTGAGTTTTTAGTAAATTTTTAACTCAGATAAGAAAGGACTTGTCCCAACAAGAGTCTGGAAACGAAAAATAAACGTTAGTTCCTACCTATTTATGTTTTAGTGGTCAATTGACCACCACCATCCCTAACCAAGTTACATCTTTCAATTAATTATTATTTTTTATGTAAGGTCTTTGGTTGAGATAAAAAGTCAGTATCACGAGCGGGATTCGAACCTACGGACCTTTGGCTAAATACGACGCTGCTCTACCACTTGAGCTATCGTAACTTCGATCCTCTCGGACACCGACTCTCCATCTCAACCTACCTTAGTTCCTACATTCCATTGATTTGCTATCTAATCGTTTTATTCCCAGATAGCAACAGTTACGGTTAATTGTTAATTCCGGTGTGGCTGGTCCCAATCCCGGTTGAGAAAAGAGGTGGGATTTGAACTGCAACTAAGTATTTCGGTGAATGAGTCTTGGGTAAGACCAGGTATTGGTCGAGGAGAAAAACTATACAAAATACGAAATTTATGGGATTTGGCAGGAAATTTAGAAAGCTTTCAGTCTTTTCCATCTTGGGGATTCGAACCCACGACCTTCGGCTAGATACGCCGCTGCTCTACCACCTGAGCTATCGTGATCTCATCCACTCGGACATCAACTCCCCAATTGAAAAATGGCAAAAGGAGTGAAAACTCATAAGGTGGGGTTGAGATGGGGAGTTGATGTCCGAGTGGATCGAGATCACGATAGCTCAGGTGATAGAGCAGCGGCGTATCTAGCCGAAGGTCGTGGGTTCGAATCCCTCTCGTGCCATTAACTTCTTTTTTTCATCTCAACTAAAAACCTTAATTAATTGTTAAGAATTTGAATTCAACTTATGTCGAATCGAGGTAGAAAAAATTAAATCGACCTTACAAACGTGACGTCCCCCTCAAATCTTACAAACATAACTTTGAAATAATTACACTGTTGGACAGATAGTTAAGAACGTCGAAGGTTGTCACAGACCCAGACTGGAACCCCGTCGTTTCCTACGAACCTGGAGAACATAAAGTTGCAATAGTTGGACAACCGATCAAATAAATAACTATCGTCTATTTATTTAGTTGTCACAAGTTCTATTGAAGGGTTGTCACAAGGTCAAAAATATGTAGCGACGTGGAACATCGTAAATTGGGGTCGCGTCAACCATGTGCGCGACAACCGTCTTTACTATCTGTCCAACGGTGTAATTATTTCAAAGTTATGTTTGCCAGATTTGAGGGGGACGTCACGTCGTTCCCGTCTGGGTGATAGCCCCTTCAGATTTACAACCTTTGTTCACTATCATCGTTTACCCTAATTTTTCCTTACTTTACAACCGTTCACCCGCGGCGTAGGAACTCCCTTGACTTTTGATTTTCCTTTCCACCCCTACTCCGGTATAGAAACTGGAATAAAAAGAGAGGACTTGGAAATCAAAAGTCAGTCAAAAACCAGAGACTCATCCCAGTCAGTCAAAACCAGAGACTCACCCTAGGCAGTCAAAACCGGAGACTCACCCTCAGGGAGTGAATAGTCAACTCCAAAAGACGATCCGGAACAGAAGCAACCGCACTCCGTCTGGGACTCAACAAGGGAACTCAGCCAGCCAGAGCCAGCGAGGACCAGCCGTTGCGACCCATCGAACCAAGTCAACGGTCGAGAGAACAGACGGAGTTGGGGATGCTGTGGATACTAATCGTGGCGAGCGTCGTTTGTAGAGTCCCTTTGTTAATAGACTCATCCCAGATTTAGAGTTGTGGCTGACTTTTAGATTGATTAAGATTCTGTTGTTTGGGTACAGTTAAGAGACGGAATTGTGATACTATAAATTTTAAGGAATATACTCTCTGGTTTATTGAATTCTAGAACCTTATCTTCCACTACACAAGAATAAGTAGCGACGCGCTTACGCCGACTCCTCTCTTGTCGCTTAGAGAAAAGCATGCAAATATTGAGAGAGAGCCGCGCCATCGTCCGCTTACAGTTGTTTCTATCTATTGATTATATTCTAAAATTGGCCTTACATAAACAACAATAATATCCCACAATGAAATTGAAAGGACAACAAAGCGAAAATAATAATTTGTCATTTTTATACGAAGATTTATTAAATAAAACGTTAGACAACGCTAAAAGTCTGACTTTTTTGTGTATTTATGTACATGTATACATTCTTTTTCTAGGCTGTTGGTTGACTTCTTTATAGTCATGTACCAATTCGGGATCTGTTGTGTTTACATAGTTTTTGTGTCTAATAGCATCAAAGAGGTAATAAATGATATTAGTACAAAAGAATTATTGTAATGGGACAAATGCTCAAACCGTCCATAAAACCTGAATAGAATGTTTTAAGCTGGGCGCACGCTAGATCGGTGGGGCGGCGCGGCGCGGAATCGTGAAGGTCCGCACACTATGTAGGAAGTTAGGAACTGCTCTCGGCCGCGTTGGTCGAATTTTCCCCCTCTATCTGACCAGCGCGCTGCGGTTTAGTGTTGATTTTGCATTTCCAGGAGTTCCACATCACAATCGTTGGCTTCGTCTTTACAAATATGGCGTCCGAGGGCAACCGAATATACCCGAACTCAACGATTTCCGACCGCCCCGGCGCACACTAGGCCGGTAGCGCGGCGCGTAACCGGGTTCCAGAAGTATGGCAACTTCCTCCGGCTCCGCGCCTCCCTATCGGTCTAGTGTGCGGGATTACAACTCCCGCAGGACACATTCCCTGTGGGCTCAGGCAAAGTCCGACCATCAACCCTGGTGCCTGGAGGTAACCGATGATGGAGGCATTTCCCCCTACCTTCCCTGTCCTTCCTATCCTCTTCCCTCTTCCCTTCCCCTCCCCCCTCTGTCTTTTTGACAGAGGGTTCCTGGGTTACTGAACCCGCACCCCTTAGGCAACGGGTGCGTCAGTAGGGATTTCGTAAGATTTCCTGGGTAGTAGGGCATCCAGGCGGCTCTACTAAATGAGGTTGGACTCGTGGTGGTCGTGGTTTGAAAACAAAATGTACCTCAGCTGGAGGGTACCGGCCAACCGGAGCCGGAGATAGAGTGCCTTCTCTATCTCTCCGGGGGTGGTGAAAGGCGTAGCTGTGGCTATGCTGGAAACCACAAATCTGCCTTTTTCAAGGCACATGTATGGATGTGCCCCTTACGGGAACTTCTGAACTTGGCTAGTATTGCACTACCTCGCTAGCCAAGGGATGTGACAAGTCCATGCATGTAAAATCTTCCTGGTGGTCCTTCGGGGGCATTAGGCGTCTGAGAAGTCCCCTTGGGGATATGTCCGGACGAAAAAGATCCTCATGAGTCTCAACGCTCATGAGTAAAGATGGGAACATCTGTGCGGGATTACATTCATTTCAATGTATTCTTCTTGGGGGTCGGTTCCGCGCCGCGCCGCTCACCGACCTAGTGTGCGCCCAGCTTTAGTCGGCACGAGTTAAACCTTACATGCTTTGTTTCATTGACCGTGATTCATCCTATGAATAATTATTTGAAAAGCTTTCAGATCATTACTGGATTAAAATCGACGTGAGAATTATAATGGTTGTCGTCACATTACCATTCATACTGATAACATTTATAAAGAATCTTAAGGTGCTTTCCCCTGTCTCGACGTTAGCGAACGTGATTACTTTCCTCGGGCTCGGTTTCATTATTTACTATATATTTTGGCCAGATCTTCCAAAAATCAACTCTGTCCCGCTGTTCGGAAATCCGAAAAACTTGGCACTTTTCTTCGGCACAATTTTATTTTCTCTCGAGGCCATTGGGATGGTAAGTTCAGCTTCAAAATACATAATTTTTTTTTAAAGATGGAAAAATAAATTCTTTTTCCGTTCAGGTTGTTGCACTAGAGAATAATATGGAAACACCAGAAGCATTTTTGGGTTATTTCGGTGTTCTCAATCAAGGGATGGGCACGGTGACTTTTCTTTATCTACTATTCGGCTTCATTGGTTACATCAAATACGGTAGTGCTATTAAAGGGAGCATTTCGCTTAATCTACCACACAACGATTAGTAAGTTAAACATATGAACTAATTTATAGACATAGTTTATTCGTTTATCTGTGTTTCAGTTTGGCTCAGGGAGTGATCATAGCATTTGCTATAGCGATTTTCTTATCTTTCTCTCTTCAGTACTACGTAATGTTTGAAATTGTCTGGAATACATGGATAAAACATTTGTTCGACGATTCGAAACACACTCTGTATAACTACATAACGAGGATAATTTTTGTAATCCTTGCTTGTACGAACAGTTGTAACTTGAAATAAGATTTGTATTTTATTATATTTTTTTCTCGTAATTTCAGTACTGGCAGGATTGGCTGTACCTCTCTTGGGCTTGTTTATATCTCTTTTCGGTGCCCTTTGTCTACCAATTTTAGGTTTTTCTTTTCCAGGATTGTTGGAATTCGCTGTCATGTGGAGTGAAGAGGGCAACCATATTCTGACTCTAATTAAAGACATTGCTCTAATAATCTTCGGTGTACTGAGCACTGTGGCAGCCGTTACCATAACTTCTATAGAGATATATGCTGAAATGAATCAACCTGTTCCAGCAACCAGTTAAATTAATTTTGTCTTTTTGTATTAATTATAAAGTTATAGAGTAATATACTCTTTTTATTTTTTGACCCTGTATACAAATATTACGTTTAAATTACGAAATCCATTCATGATTGAATCCCATACGTGAATCGAACGTTAATTATTTATTAATTATAATTTAAAGATCACGAGATGCGATGCGATGTAGGTTAGAAAAATTATTAGAAAATTATTTATCGTGCCAACGTTGGGATCTTTATTGAGATCATCTTCAGGGCTTGGGATTTATAAACACCGTTCAAATTGTACAAATACGTATAAAATATTAATATGAATTTGTACAATGATTTATAGAAATTTTGTGTTTAATCAAAGTATTTGTACTAATACAAAGTGTGTGGTTTCTGTGTAGTCATGTCACTGTTGCGTGTCTTGTTGCGAGTGTTAATGAGATTTTAATGTTTTTTGCTTTTTATAATTTTTTTTATTTGTCGGTCCCTATCACCTCAAAGCCGACTCCTCATAGAAAAATGAATTTCTAACCCTACCTCCTTTCCCACTCCTTCAAAATCAAGCATGTACAAACAAAAAAAACTCACTATCACTCTCAACACAACACACAACAATCACACGACTGCACAGAAAACACTTTGAGTGACTTCAAATACTTCGAATAAACTAAACGTTCTCAATTGTGTACATCATTGTATAAATTCATATTAATATCTTATACTTATTTGTATAATTTAAACAATGTTTATAGACAAGCATTTTTGGGATGATGCTAAGGGCGTTTGTTATAGCAGAAAACGGTTCCATTCCGGATAAGAGCTATGGAAAAAAATGACTAAATGGGTTTACCGAGCTTGAGGTAATTTATAGTGCCATCATCAGGGCCTGTTTTATTACAAATTCAAATAATACAAAACAAAATACAATTAACAATTAATGTAATAAAATGGTATACATACTTTCCCAAGGATGAAGAAACGATTAATATGAAAAACTACATATTGTACAAATATTTGGGATTAAGGCTATGGAGCACATGGCCAGCCTAATACATTTTGACGGTGAAGCAGATATTTATATAAAACTTAAAAGTAATTACTATCCAATAATATTTATATTTGACATTGAAATTGATAAATTATAGTAAAGTCAAAAATACCTTGCTAAAAAACCCATATAACTAAAGGTCTAACTTTTTCTATGTTCTGACTAGCAATTTCTTTCAGGTACTTTTGGGATCTCTCAAATATTTACAAAAATTGCTTTTTTTATTTATTTCAACTAAATTACAGCTATTTTATAGTAATATAGTGCTCCATAGCCTTAACCCCAAACACATGTACAATAGTTTTTCTTTTTTTCAATTTATTATTAAAATATTTTCCTAACAAATTGTAATTTTTAAACGATATATACAGAATACAGGATTAGATTGTAAACTATAGAAGTTCTTCATAAAAACTTTTGAGACGGGAAGAATCTGATTGAGATTTGCCCATAATCGCATTAAGGGCAAAAGTAACTTGTAAGTAAAAAAATTGTTAGTTTTTTTAAGTTTCTCGAAATCATACCTCGCAGGAGTTTTAAAGTCAAGGATGATCAAGCACATTCTAATTCCTACCCAGTGCTTAGCGGAGTTCCGCAAGGATCGGGCTTGGATCTAATTATATTCATTTTTTATATCAGTGAATAAAATTAATACAAATGGCAAAATTCACTGTGAAATCCGTTAGAAGAAACCAAGATATTTGCAAATCTCTTGATTGCATTCAATGAACTGCAAATGAGCACTGATAAGATTTCTGATTGCTCGCTACTTTGGGATCTTAATCTTAATCGTGACTGCTATGTTCTCTTTCTGGACACTAAAAACCCTTGTTTAACCTACTAATAACTACAATAAGACAAGTTTTTATTAAAATTTTATCACCTATTTCCAATTTAATGAATTTGTGTTTTCTGTCATAACTTTTTTTATACTGTTCCTTAGCTTTGTTAATATTTTCTAGGCCTATTTTATATATTTCCGCAGAAGATTCAGAAAAGTTGTCAACCGGTACACCCCACTCCAGGTTCAAGGGCGTATTTATTTTTCGTCCTAGGAAAAGTTCGGATGGTGTAAAACCCATGGATGAACTAACGGCTGTATTTAATGCCAATTGTAAAAATGATAAATCTTGCGACCATTTGGTTTGTTTTTCTCCAAAATAAGCAATGAGTGAAGATTTTAAATTTCTTAATGCCCGCTCTGCTTTACTTGGGTTGGGGTAGTATGGTATTTGGAACTTCTTATCTACTCCATGAGAGAATAGGAAATCTTTATACCATTATCTTGTCCCAATAACCAAAACTGCTGAAAATTCGGTCGCGGAGGCACGCTATGACTGTTGTGGTGTTCGCATTGTACACTGGGAACAAAAAAACAAACCTAGTATATTCATCTACCCCTATCAGAATATTTTTGTAATTATTATTAACCGGAAAAGGGCCTGCAAAGTCTAAAAATAAGGTTTGATTTGGCCTTGTGCATGAATAACTAGACAGTTTGCCCTTAGGTTTTGTTTGTTCCGCTTTCGATTTATGACATATGAGACATCTCTTAACTCGGTCGCTAACAAATTTCCTTAAATTTTTGAAATAAAACGATTCTCTTATTTTCGCGATTGTACGAGAGATTCCCAAATGCGCGCCTATTATCTCCGTATGGTAGTATTTAAAAACCATATTTCTCATGTTTTTTGGATAACGGCTTTAAACTCGCCAGATGATGTCGCGTAATATAATTTACCCCCTCGGATTGTATATTCCTCGACCTTTTCACCGTTTTTAATTTATTAATAATTTCAACTAATTCAGGATCCTCACGTTGGGCATTCTGTTTTCGAAAATTTGGGGAATTTTATGTAATTTCCGTATCGACACTTGATTTGTCGTTTTACATGGGTCGTCAGCTGGATGACGTGACAAATAATCTGCCATCGATTTTTTTTTCCACTTATGTGGTGATCTTTGTAGCGGTAAGCCATGATTTTAGTCGCAAATCTTGCATGTCTTCTCCCCTTTTTTTGCAACGATATCACTGAGGTGAAAGCTTTGTGGTCCGTATGTAGATCAAATTCATTGAACTCTAAATACACTTGACACTTTTCGAGTGCAAAGATAACCGCTTCCAAGTCCAGTCGTCCAGGACGGTATTCGCCGTTACCACGATCTCGTTGGGCCAAGCAAACAGCTATCCCGCGAGACGACGCATCAGTGAATACCGCGAAACGCTCGCTAAAATCTGGCGTTTTGAGTACTGGTGCTGAAGTGACGCGGCGACGGAGCGCGTGCCATGCGTCTTCACATTCAGACGTCCATATCATACTCGAATTCTTTTTGCGGAGGTCATTCAACGGACGGGCGATAACACCTAAGTCTGGAATTTTCACGAAGTCACACGGAAGTCATGGGAAAAAATTTATGGTTCCCAAAAACTGAACTACTTCCTTAGGAATTGTGGGCTTGGGAATTTCTAGGACCGCTCGAATTCGTTCAGGGTTCACTGAGATTTTCCCGTGCTCTATCACTTGTCCTAAAAACTGATTTTGGTTTGGGAACGTTGTACTTTTTCTGGGTTGACAGTTAATTTCGCGTCGTTGAGACGTTGGAGAACAGTTTCTATGTGCTTCTTATGTTCGTCGTAAGTTTCGCTAAATATTAAAAGATCATCGTGATGAAAGAATACAAATTTGAATTGAAGATCCCAAAAAATCGTCTCCATTAAATCTGAAAAACATTGCCAGAAAAGGATAGACGGAAAGGAACCTTTGTATAAGCATAAGTTCCGAATGGAGTAGAAAATGCGGTTAGTTTCCTACTTTCTGGGTTTAATGGAATCTGGTGGTATGCGGCGTTCAGGTCCATAACTGTATAAAATTTGGCTTTGCTCAAGTGTAAAAAAAGCCAATTCGATAGTCGGAATAGGGAAGTAAGTATACTCCAAGTTATCGTTCAACTTACGGTAGTCTATTACTAACCGAAAATCCGACGCTTGGGAGGGTTTATCGTTTTTCGGAACTAAGAAAGCTGGTGAAGTGAAATCAGCGGAAATTTTAATTATGACCCCTCGCTTAAGAAGTTCATCCAACTTCTGACGAAGAAACTCACTTCTGCCCGGGCCCAGGGCGTATGTGACTCTCTGACGTTTTAGGCTAGCGCCCTCCTTTAGTTTCAGGGTGCATTCAATTTGCTTTTTTTGTAAAGACTAAAAGAAACTTGTGAATAGCTTGGGTCTATAGTCCTGCCAGAATAAGTCATAAAATCAAAGCCAAAAATAACATCGATCGGTAAATTTTCGATGATTAAAAAATCAAAAAGCCACGAAAAGGTACCGATTCTTATCTTTAATCTGACCTTTTGATTGCACTTAACTGATTTAGGATTGCCGATTATTATTTTTGATAGTTACAATTGCGAGTTCTGAATTTAATTCTTTTTGGGTTGGCTTTACTATTACATGTCATAGAACCGATATCAATTAGTGTATTAAAAGGTATGTTCTCAATTTCGGTCTGTAAATAATTTTTTATTTCAGAAACTGTGATCTGATCAATTCTGGTTACGTCTTGTCTTTTTTTTAGGTTGCTGTACAATTGGCTAATTATCTTTATTATAATCAATATGCATACAGCATACTTTCTTTATGATGGGAATGTTGGAATTTTCTATTCCACGTTGTATTGTTTTGTTACGGTGGAACTATTTTGGTTCGAAGGATTTTCGTTTATATTTTCGCGTATATGACGATATCGCGATGTTTGTTGTCTTACAGGAGTATATGATGAGGGTTTAAAAAAATTCCCTTTTTTTTAACGTCTATTAAACAAAATTTAACATTGATTAAAATTACTATTCTATGTTTGGGATGAGTTTCTAAATTAATTAAATCCTTTGTAAGGAGGTAAAGGTAATGTGCAAGGCCAAAAAAATATAGAGAGCTAATAAAGTAATCAATCTTACTCTATCCTTAATCAATGAAAAGGCACTTTCCTACACGGATGTCCAGCTTACTCTGTTTATTTTTTCCCTAGAACAATCCGTGTAGGCCAGGCGTCATTGATAAGGGAGAATGTCAGGGGATTATTGAGTCAATCAGTTAATCATGACCCTGACAAAACTTGAGTAGATCTTCGGCCTTAAATCATTTCAAAAAGTCTTGGGGATAATAATATCAGAAGGTTTAAAATAGAATAAAGATGTCCTGGATAACGTTAAAGAAAGGAATCTTTCTTACCAAGTTAAATGCACATTTCCTTCATTTTCTACTAAAATACTTCAAAATTTTTTTAAATACGTTCGTCCCATACTAGAGTTTGTAAATTGTACTGGAGCCCCTACTTCCAAAAAGACTTGTGTTTCTTATTGGCCTGTTGTTTCATAATTTGTTGAAGTCGTTAGGAGCGGTCAAGAATGAGGTAGTTTAGAAAATCACCTTTTTCATTTTTTTGCCGGCGTTTCGACCTTTATTCGGGTCACCTTCAGGGCATAAAGTGTGGTACTATTCTTGTGGTGTCATATTGGTTTTGAACATGACCACCAATCCAATATGACACCACAAGAATAAAGACTGTAAATCATAGAAAAATTTCAAAGACGTTTTATCAAAACCTCCAAAAAATAAAAGCCACACAAGTACGTCGACCGGCTTAAATTCCTAAATTTTATAAATCTTTAAGATCGTAGAGAAAAGCAAGATTTCATCGAAACTTATAAAATTCTTACAGATAAATAGGTCTCTTCCCCTCAACTTTTCTCACTGTATGTATACTCAAAAACATCGAATTTTAATTATAAATTTTATATACATATAATTGTATTGTTTGTTTTATAATATGTTGAGTGTATATCGGCATTTACGCCGTTTACTCATATAATAATAAATTTTTTAAAATAAAAAACTTCGTTTTTGAGAGGAGAAATTCGCACAGTCTTATCTCACCCTGACATCGCTCGGACCCATCATTTTCTTACCAATCGCATTTTGTAAAAGAAAATCACTTAGGAAACCATAAAATAAAAACTAAAAAATCTTGATTGGAGAGTGGTTGCCTCGAAAAATATCTCCCATTTATACCATTACCGAACTGAAATGAAAAATTGTAGAAAACAATGACATACTTTTAGGAAAAATCTTTTTGTGTTATATTTATTGTATCTACTTTTATGCACAAGGGATTTACTAGCACGATTTGATCAACTTTCAATGTTTTCGTGTTTTAGAAAATGAAATGCTAAAAGTTACATGTTGAAGCGACATAGGGTAACTTACTGGGTCCGTCTCCCTCGCTGGTTTTACCAGTAGAGTTGCATAGTTGGTTAGTTTTGCGCACCGTTTAAGTAACGTAGAGACTGTATTAGAGATGATGGGTGTTGGTCGGTTCAAGTTCACCCTCATTCATCCTCGAATGACCCAATAAGTGACCCTTATTCCGGTCCACCGACACCTAACACCCATCATCAAAATAAAATATGGATTCGTTTAAATTCGTACATCTGCCTGCTTATAGTTTACTCACGTGACTATTTTAAAAGTTTGCAAACAATTGTGAACAAATAGACTATTTCATATTTTTTACCAATACATATTTACTTTATATATGCAGGCCTTCTGATTAAATAAAAATAACTTTCACATCTGAATTTGTAATCCATTTTCTAAATTTTGTTAAATTTACGATTTATTATTATTCTAATAAAAAAAACCGTCTTTACTTAAAATGTAGTGACTAAAAGAACAACAAATGTCGTCAATGAAACTAACAAATTCCGTGAACGTACGTTGAGCAATGTATGGATTTCCGTCAATCGAAAATCGTTAAAATGCTGGTTGTTTTTGTTTTTTTTTAGGCAGACGTTCCAAAAAATTATGAATCGCCTCTGGACATGGGCATTTTGCCAAAAAGGAAAAAGGAAAAAGGGGTGAATAAGATGAAGAGAATCGATAACCGAGATTTACTCTCAGACTTCAGCCCGGAACGTAGGAAAAGCTCGGTGAGGAGCATTCTCTCCTCCCTCAGATCTTCGACCCAAAACTTCGTCTCCATCACTCTTGCCAGCAAGCAAATATCGTAAGACACCTATGTGATCTCTAATAGGATTCATTGTATCTTAACGCCTCGGCCTCTATTTAATCTTGTAGAAAAATCTCATTGTCTCAAATTTGAGGGTGATATGCGAATACACAAAAATTAAATTAAGTTGGTCCGTTTGCCGAAGCGACGATTATCTCCATTTGAACCGTTTTTTGTTTTTGTTTAAATACTCTTGGTAACAGTATTTAGGTACAGTCAAGGATAGGAACTAAACAATTCTGGCATACTATCATAATTAATAAAATCAGACACCCATTGTTAGAAATGGGGACTGACTATATGATCCCGGAAACATTCTTTACAACATACTATAAAGTCTCAACGGACTAGAAAGATACAATGATATGGTATAGAGATGGCTCCAAAACAAACGAAGAAACCGGATCTGGCAATTTTTTACAAAGACCAAAACATGAGCAATCAAACTCATTAGGGAGGTACACTTCGGTCTTTCAAGCAGAAATACATGTCATCAACGCTTGTGCCCTGGAAAATTCTAAAAGAGGTTACTGACAAAAAAATCCTCATCAGGTCTAATAGGCAAGCAGCCATTAAAGCATTAGCATGTAAACGGATCACATCAAACGAACCTATTCTTTGAATTAAAAAAAAACAAAAAAACAAATATAGAATCCTCCATCGCAGAATGGATAAAAAAAAACGAAGTGGATAAACTCTAGCAGTGCTAGACACAATAATCATATGATAAAACAACCCTCACCAAGACTGGCAAAATAACTGCTGCAATTGGAGAGGGCTAAACACAGAGGAGTGATATAACTATTAGCCAGTCACTGCCATTTGAGAAAACATCTACGTAACATAGAACACAAGCATATTCAATGATGACCCCATTTGTAGGTCATGCAATGAAGAGGAAGAAACAGCCACCCATATCATCTTATAATGCAAAGCAACGGCTCAATGGAGACTAACCTAGCATACAGAAAGAAACAAATGCAATTGTAGCAGCGACAGCCAATGACCTGATACTTCTAAGAAGAAAGAGTGAGTCTATTGAACTGAACTAAGGAACTAGGAAGGTACAATAAGCCAGAAGGCTGCAGTGCCTGGGGAGCACAAACCCCACACAAATCCTTATCACCACACCATATCATCGGTATTTAGGTAAAAACTACATGTCCACTGTGCGCAGGGGACACAAATGCACTTATTTTATTTCGTTTAAGACTAAAAGCTGGTAATCAACATCAAACCTAAACGAGATATGTACCAAGAAAGAACATTGACAGTGATAATTCAAGAGTCTTCCTCCACTAACATAGTATTGCTGAAATTTACAAAAGGTTGTGTACCAAGCAGGACAAAGGAAAAGCGAACACCTATAGCATGATATACTTACAGAACTTGCAATGGTTTTTTGAAAAAATTATAGTGAATTTATAGACCTAGTACCATACTTGTATCTAGAAAGTAAATTATTAAGGATATCTCTTATCAATAAGGGAGGGCGTCGGTGGCTGCTACGGTTTAGGCATTGACATGGCGCTCATCGCTGTAAGGTAAAGGTCCCGGGTTCAAATCCAGCAGCCCGCATTCGAACCCAACATACTTTCAAATAGGCTTTTTTCAAACCCTGAGGGTTCATATACGTATAACTATACGTATAACCTCGTAGATGAAATATCCTCGTTAAAAAAAATTCAATTTTATTATTTCGATTATCACTAAATGGACAAAAAGATCAATAGATATTTAGAAACTATGACTAAATTGACAGATTAGTACAAGTAGAGATTATTTGATCTGGATTTGACTTTCAAAATTTAAACACTCGATCACAGACCTTTTTGCATTTACCTTCATTTTTCTTGGCATCATACTTATGTGTTTCTTATAGGAAGGTTGGATTGTTTTTTCACACGCATGAAAATACAATCTCTCGTCGATCACCATAAATAATAAGAATATGGAAAGAAAATTATGGAAAGGACAGCAAACTACAGATGGCAAAGAACAAGAAATTCACGAGTTGCGTCCTAGAAAGGAAAGAAGGAGATTTTAAGACCCCAGTCCAGATCTGCTGAAAAATAATCAAATGGGCGAGATAAAGAACCTGAAGAAATTGTCATCTGGAATCTTCTTATATTGACCATTTCTCAGTCATGGCTAGGTATCACCATATGGAGTTCACAGTACTGATCGCCAAAGAAGTCGACTCCAGTCAATTCTAGATATAATCCCATTACTGAGGGCTCTACAAATCATGCCATGACCTCAGCTCAGGTGTAAATTAGCAGTATCATGAAAAACATTAACACATTATAAACGAATTTCTTATTTTTGTCTATTATTTATATTCAATTTATAATGATACATATATATAAACATATCAGTAATTAAATAATAATAAATTAATCATATTAATAGAACTGTCGAAGCAGTAAACCACATGTTTTGTGGTCTGGGTGGAATAAATTTGACATACCTTCCACAAATGTACCTGCAAATTGGTATTGTGCCCTGCCTAGGCATTAGCTTCTTTTACTGCTTACTTCATCCCATTGTAGTATTGAATATAGTAAGTATCAAAAGTATAAATTAAAAAGTACCTGTGTACCAGTGATGCACACTGTTATTTTCAGATAAAAAAGAAAACTGTTTTGTCAAATGAGGCTGAAAAAAACTTAAATACAATTGGTGCAATTGAATATTTAATTGAAGGAAGTTATTTGTGGCTACAATATTGGATGTCATGTATTAGGTAATATTTACATCCAGTGTTTGTCATATATTAAAAATTAAAATTTTAATTCACTTTTCAATAATTTAATCAAAACTTTATCAAAAATAACTTTTTTTGCTGAACTACACCATTAATTGATCATAATTCCAGGAGGTTAATAACGATATTTACAGTTAGCTATCATTTGGCCATCTGTATCTATTTGGTTAATTATTTGACCCAACTTTTGGTGTTGGTGAGGAGAAAGAAAAGCCAAAAATTTACTTCCGTTTAAAACAACATTTATTTCTAGGTAATGGGCTACAAAAATTTCATAGCTGCTTCAGAATTGACACTGATAATGTTTTTAGTGCCGCTGACCATCATAACGAACATAAAAAATTTGCATGGCATAACAATAACATCAGCCATTGCGAACGTTTCAATGTTAGTAGCGGTGATCATATTTTTCTTCAAGTGTGTCACTATTAAACCAGATTGGCAGAAGATTGATTACTTTAAAAATATGAAAGATATTCCTATTTTCATTTACCTTACTGTCACTCACGTATGGCCTACTTGTCTGGTAAGTTAACATTTTATCATTCAAATATTTAAAAAATAATATAATTAAATAAATGTTGCGAACAGTTCTTGGTTATAGAAGAACGGATGTACATGCCTGAACATTTTGGCGGCCTGCGTGGAGTATTCTGCACTAGCTATTTTTTAACAATAATCTCTGACACTGTCGTGAGCATTGCAGCTGCATTTATGTTCAGCACTTTCCAGGATGAGGTTAATCCTGGAGCAACCTTGCCAGAGTAAAAAAAACAACACATTTTTAAAAATTGCAAATTCTTTTTAATCTTCTTGTCCTAGTTATATGCTGACTTGTGCAATCATATCATCATGCCTGTTCAAGTACCCTCTTCATTTCTATGTATGTGTAGTAAGCCTGTGGCAAAATCATCTTCATGCAAGAGTGCCAGCAAATTTACGAGCGGGATGGCCGAACCTCATACTGAGAGTTTTCTTGAATTCAACAGTTGGTATGATTTTATTCCATTTTATTATAGTTATTCCATAAATTGTAGTTAGCTAAACAAACCATTACTGTGAGATTTCTCTACGTGGTATGCAGGGTGTATCATTGTGGTGTGCCTATCCTCATATTTAAGTTTTAAAATTTATTTATTTATTTCTACTTTTGAATGGAGATTTGTGTATCAACACTGTGGCCAATTTGAAAGTACTTTGAGTTTGAATTTGGGACCACATGCATAACAATCCCAATAATAAACAGCTATATATATAAAGTATCTGGGAACCCTGTTTTCACTTTTTACAGAAAAAATAATTATGTCAGTAGTGTGAACAAATTTATTAACTACCCCATTGAATTTGAGTATGGTGCGGTTCGAAATTGAAGTTTGGAGAACATTAAATAAATCAAAAATCCAATCCCTCCAATCAAAAATACTAAGAAAAATATAAAACTGTCTCTTCTACGTTTCAAATTAACAATCCACAATGACCTACGTTTCGATTTGTTAATATTAATTAAGAATAATTAAGTTGGTTCTGGACATTAAGGTAGCTTTGCACCAGCTGGGATTTGGCAGATTTGTTCAGTGTTAGCCAGTGTTTGCTAGCATAAGGTTGGTGAGATTATTGTCTTATAAATATTGATTTTTTTTTTTTTTTTTTTTTTTGTAGTTTTGCCAATATATTTGTGGGGGTTGTATTCAGTAAATATAATTGTTTGTTTGTATTAATTATACATGATTGTGTTTTTATTTCTTTTACTACGGATATACTATAAACCCCGTTCAATATGTCTCAATCTTATTTTCATCACGACTAAATCATAATACCTCCAAATCCAATTTGTATTTTACATTATTGAATCCCGATACAAGAACTTCTACAAAAATTTAAACCTTCACCACAATCCACTTCTCAAATCATTGAAGCAGTTGCGGCCAAGAGATCTCGTGAGAGCTTGATTGACTCAATGTGAGAGATGCTGGGTGACTTTTATTACATGTAACATGCTAGGTTTTCACCTGTCTATTATCTCATTTACTTGTTGCGACTAAAAATCCTACTTGTAAAAATCATAAGAAAAAGAAAAAAGGATTATTTACATGAATAACCACTATTTAATAGTAGATAATGAATGAAGATCGGCTATAAGAAAATTATATTCATAAAATCATGTTTATGATTTTTTAATACTACTTTAATGATACATTACTATTTTCTATTTTGTACTTCAATCTATTTGTTCAACATTTTGGCTATGCGTAAGAGTAAATTTTAAACATATTTATAACAGACTTTTTTTTTTCAGTTGCTTTTGTGCTGTTTTTGCCGTTTACAAACAAAATTTTCCAAATAATTCAGATTATAAGCTGTTGCTGCCTTGGCCTCATATTGCCCGCTATGCTGAATATAGTCCACAACTTAATACGTGATAAGCGCAGCTTAATTTTTTCACTGACACTAAATCTGATTTTGATAGTGACAGGTGTTGTGACGATGATCATCAGCATTATGGGAGAGCTCAGTAATAATAAGCAAACGTTTGTGGCAAACTGGACAACAACTAGTGAAATAATGAAGACACCATTGTGATGTTTTTAACTCTTCATAACAGATTGTTTATTTCGCTGGAACTCGTTCATGTAAAACGAAGTCAATTCATCTAAAGTGAAATCGTAAGATGTATCATTATATACATCAATTACCTCCACAAGGGGTGGATTTTGCAATGACTTGGATCCAATCACTATGATAAAAGGATAACCCGTCATTTTAGCGTGTACAATTCTTTTTCCTATTGTCATCCTTTGTCTATCGTCTATTAAAATATCATCTTTCAAATGATCCTGTGAATTCAAAATGTCGTAAATTTCATATTGGAGATATGCTGACGATGATTCCTTACTTCCCTCCTATAATAAATAATAAATTATTAGAAACCAATCCATTGTTTTTTATGTTAAAGAAAATTACTTTAGGGGGGATGATGACAATACGATAAGGAGCGATAGTATGTGGCCATCTGATTTCTTCTTCATTTGACAGCACTTCTATGGAACTGGCTAAAATCCTTGTAACACCTAAGCCATAACTTCCCATCATTAAATGCTTCATTTGGTTATTTTCCAGTTTAAAAACAGCAGAAAGAGGATCTGAATATGTTGTTCCTAAGAAAAACGTATGTCCGACCTAGAATACAGAATAACCAGATTTTTCTGCTGGAGTATATTATCTATTTACTTATTTATTCTTAAATAGATTAATTTATTGCAAAAACAAAATTCTCTGTTCAAAAATGAATGTAAAACATAAACACAATTTATTTTAAATTTCACAACCTTTATCTTACAATATTAGCCAGAGTTCAAGTTCAGAGAATGATACTTTTTATTATATTTTTTGGGAAAGGGTATCATGAAAAAAGGGCCAGGGCTGACACTGGGAAGCAAACCCACGACCTCAGGGTATATAGAGTTATTACGCTGACCACTCAGCTATTGTAACCCCCAAAACACAAGAATTTAGAGTAAATTCGATTCCCACCGTCGCCTCTGGCCCTTTTTTCCCGATAACCCCCAATTTGAAACACAAAAATTCGTACCATGGCTAATATGCAAGATCATAAGGCCAATAAAAAAAAAAAAAAAAAAAAAAAAAAAAAAAAAAAAAAAAAAAAAAAAAAAAAAAAAAAAAAAAAAAAAAAAAAAAAAAAAAAAAAAAAAAAAAAAAAAAAAAAAAAAAAAAAAAAAAAAAAAAAAAAAAAAAAAAAAAAAAAAAAAAAAAAAAAAAAAAAAAAAAAAAAAAAAAAAAAAAAAAAAAAAAAAAAAAAAAAAAAAAAAAAAAAAAAAAAAAAAAAAAAAAAAAAAAAAAAAAAAAAAAAAAAAAAAAAAAAAAAAAAAAAAAAAAAAAAAAAAAAAAAAAAAAAAAAAAAAAAAAAAAAAAAAAAAAAAAAAAAAAAAAAAAAAAAAAAAAAAAAAAAAAAGTAAATGTGAAAACATAAGAACATTTAAAAATTTAAAAAGCTTTTTCTTTTACCTCGAGTCCATTCAAAACAGAAAATTCTGCATGTTTGCAATTGTTGCACTCTTTCCAGTCATTTTGAATACAAGTAAGCCCACATTTCTTACAAGAGTTTAAAACCTCTTCTCCTTCATTGCATTCTATATGATATTCATGTGAAAAGATTCCTTTAATTTCTCCTGGGTCGGCTGCAACTGTAACCACCCCAATTTAAGATCTTATTAACGATTGTGAACGTTTATATGCAATTTCTCAACTTTTTACCTTTTAAAGTGTTTAAGCCCAAGTCACTGAAAATTTCATCATACACTTTACCCACCATCTGGTAAGTCTCGCGGGCTTTTTTCTCATCGGTGTCAAATGAATATAAATCTTTCATTACAAACTCCCTCGCTCTGATGAGGCCACACCTCGGTCTTAATTCATCTCTGAATTTAGTGTTTATTTGATAAAACAACAACGGAAAGCTTTTGTGCGGAAGCTGTCGAATGGTCGAAATCAGATCAGCTGCAGATTCCTCGTTTGTCTGAAAATATGTTTAAAATGATGACTGATTATACATTAATATCATTATTTTATCATTTTATCAATTGAATAAAATCCGTTAAAGCTTAATTTTATTAATTCTTGATATACTGAGAGGAAAAAATTCCACCTGATTTTTTTTTTCATTTTCTAGATAAAAGAAAATTCTGCCCTTAATTTGTCTCATTGTTTTTATCAATAAATATTTGTTTATGCTATATTGGGAATATCAATTAGATATAAACTCACTTAATCCCAAATAAGGTTAAAGTATTTTTCAATGTTTAATTTTTACGGAATTTAAAATGTTTATTCAGTCTCATTTGAATTCTGAAGCAATAAACTGTTTAGTTTTCATATTAATTTCAATTTTTAAATTTAAAAATGTCACTTAGTGCTAAGGATGGTGCACGTGGTGTGGCACTTATTGATGATGGACATTCCATCACATATACAGCTATTGTCATCGGTGTTCCCTATGAAACACCATTAAACATTTTTCGAGAAACTGGGTCCTACCATAGAAGGCCTGATTTTGGATGCCCTCAGGTAACAGAACCACAGGATGACCGCTTTTTTGACTTTGAGAATTTTTTTTTTTTAATTTTTTGAAACCGGCATCTTACTGTTGTCATCAGCTCCAGGAAGTTCAAGGTGTCATCTAAATTTCTAAATGCACTGCTCGAAAAAGATTAAATCAATATGGACTGATTGCTTTTCGTCCCATAAGAGGACCAGAATTAACCAGAACACACATAGTTGCAGGACTTGCATTTCAAGAACACAGCCAGTCTTTGAACGATTGGTCTGCTGTATTTTTTTTACAGATGAGTGTAGATTTGCTCTATGATCTCCAGATGGGTGAGAAAGAATGTGGGGAAGGCAAAATGAAAGGTACGAACCCTGTAATTTTTCCCAGAACCAACCTTTTTAACGTAGCTCAGTGATGGTGTGGGTGGGAATTTCAGTAGAGAGTTGCACAGATTTGGTTCATGCCACTCGCTATGAGGATGAAATATTGAAACATCACACGTTGCCTATTCTCGATGAAATCAGCGGCAATCCTATTCTAATTTTATGCCCATCCACATGTTGCTTGCATAGTACAAACCTACCTTCAATTTTATCTGTCTTGTGTCTTTTTTAATTTTTTTTACATTTTTAGACAAAGACTCAATTATTAAACATTAAAAACCGTGAAACTTTGATTAATATATAAAAATATATGCAAACCAAGTTATATTGAATGTGGGTGGATATTTTTGCCTGTCAGTGTATTTTAGTTTGGATTAATAGATTAATATTAATGAGAAATTCACCGGGCACAATAAGAAGCTCTTTTTATGTCTATCATTTAGCTTGAATATTTCTTCTCCAGCCGCATCCCACCTTCCTTCAAAATGAAATCGTTAAAAGGGAACATGTTTTCGAGTTATTCCTTTTTTTACCCGATTTCTTCCAAAGGTCAGTGCTGACGATGAGTGGCATCTTGAGCTCTTGGGCCCCAATCTGATTCATGCGACACCTTATGAGGTTTTTAAGCTTGTTTAAGGAGCGCAAGCCAAGGGGTAGCAAGTGGTACACGCCAATGTACGACTGTCTGATTATCCCCATGTCAAGCATCAACTGTAAAGGGAAATTGCGTTAATTTTAAAGAATTTGACACGTCTTATAAAAGTTATATGAATTACCCGATTGCTTTTTGACAAAGCCTGCTGATGCCGTATCGCATCCTTTGGCAGGGCAGAAACCGGCTGGAGCATCCTGCTGACATAATTCACCAGGCTTTTGTTCAGCTTTATAGACATTGCTGTTTCAAGTTTCCTACGGCTCTCTTAGCTTAAAACTTGGCAATTATTATATTAAACTGATGAAAAGTTTGTCAGTTTGTAATAGTACTCGTAACCTCCTTATTGATAAGAGCAAAAATAAACAGGCCTATGCCTGATGTGGATTAGAAAACAACATACACAAATTTATTAAATAATTTAATAAAACGACGTTTCTTAATTAATAAAAATGTTCAAAAATTTAAAACAATTTCATCAACGAATGTGATAAATCAATTAAACTACCGCCTGTCTGTGATCAGCCACGTTTTGGACATCCTTTAAACCGATTTAAATCAAAAGTAAAGACTCATTTCTATACACGGCAGTAAATGACCCAAAATAACCGATAATTAATCTGGCGGACCAATGCTTAACAAAAACTAGCATTAAAAAGGCAGCATAAAAAGATTAGCAAACCTATGTATCACAGGGGCAATGAGAACAACCTCTACAAATGCACTAGAAACTCTGCTAATTCTACCTCAACTGGAAACATTCATACAAGGTGAAGCTAGGAGAAGCTCATTTAAGCTCCAAAAACAATCAATTTGGATGGAAACTAAGTAATTCGGGCACACAACCATAATTAATAAAATCAGACACCCATACTTTAAAGCCAGTCACTGATTCACCACTTAGGTATGGCAGTTAGACCCATGTAACCTATGGTTTACTAATCTCTGGATCAAAACTCAGCAAAAACAAGCTATCCAAACATTAGGTACCATACAAAGATTGGCAAACCTATGGAAGCAACCCATTAATGGCACTAAAACTCTACCACTAATGGAAATATTTATGCAAGGAGAAGCGAAGAAAAGCTCATTTAGGCTTCAAAACTGATAGGAAACTAAACACTTCAGGCACACCACAATAATTAATAAAATCAGACACCCATACTTAGAAATGAGGACTGACTATGTGATCTCGGAAACATTCTTAACAACATCCCATAAAGTCTCAACAGATTATAAAGGAGAAGAAGAATACAGGAGAGCATCAGATAAAATGATATGATATGCAGATGGCTCCAAAACAAATGAAAGAACCGGATCGGGCATATGCCCAAAACACGAGCAATCAAACTCATTAGGGAAATACACTTCATTCTTGCAAGCAGAAATACATGCCATCAATGGTTATGCCCTGAAAAATCTTAAAAGAGGTTACACTAGCAAAAAATCCTCATAAGATCTGATAACTAAGCAGATATTAAAGCATTAGCATGTAAATCAAATCAAAATTAGTCAGTGAATGCATCCAAAATCTGGGGAAACACAACAACCTAATGATATTCTGGGTGCCAGGGCACAAAGGAATTTTGGGTAACAAGAAAGCAAAAAGACTGGCCAGAGGCCCTGAATCTATACTTGGGATAACAAAAACAATATAGAATCCTCATCTTAGAATGAATTCAAATAAAACAAAAGGAGAAGTTAATAAACTGTAGGGGCACTAGACGCAGTAAACATATGCTAAAACAACCCTCACCAAGGCTGGCAAATTTACTGCTGCAGTTGGAGAAGGCTGACTTAGAGCAGTGATATGACTATTAATTAGCCAGTCAGTCATTTGAGAAAACATCTATACAAATTGAACACATATTCAATGATGACCCCCATTTGTAGGTTATACAATGAGGATGGAGAAAGAGCCACCCATATCATCTTAGAATGCAAAGCAACGGCTCAATGGAGACTAACCTAGCATACAGAAAAAAACCTAGGGAATGAAATTGTAGCAGCAACAGTCAATGATCAAAACTTCTGAAAAGAAAAATTGAGTCGATTGCAATGAAGTAGGGAACTAGGAAGGTACAATAAGCCAAAAGGCTGCAATACCTGGGGAGCACAAACCCTGCTTCCTAGTATCCCATCACCATTAAAGACCCATTTCAAATAATACATAAAAAAGGTCTTCAGCACATATATTGATTCTTAATAAATAATTGGAGGGTTATGAACATGATTTAAATTAATGTTAAAACATTTGATATACCTATCCATTTAAATTTTTAATGTAATGTACTCAGTTACCTTAAAAAACAATAACATACATATACAGTAACTCAATTTTAATGGTGATTCGAGAAGATGGTAGTTCTGCCTACCCACCGTGGTTACTACTGAGCATGATAGGCCCTTCGTCGACCCTCTCATTGTGCTTTTGTTGGAGAAATACCATGAATTGGAGTGTCTAGACATAATGGTGGTTTTTGTCTGGGTAATCTGGGCACCTAGGGCTGGTGGGTAACCAAAAGGCAGACAGGTGGCTAAGGCCTAAGTCCCAACCTCCAGGTTTAACCACCCCCGATGTGAGATGTGACCCTCTAAATGCAATAAAAGACATGATTAAAAAATATGAGTTGGTCGGTCGGATTGGTAGAGAAGCTCTCGTGTAACAAGAGCACCATCAATGGTTATGGATGGTTAGGGCCCACTGATGATCTGACTCATAGAAGGGGGTCATCCTCAATTAAGGAAAGGCCATGCGAGGTTGACACACGGACACTTACTTTTAGGTCAAAGACTGCATATGTATCTAGCATGTAGAGAAAGGTTACTTGATGTTCCCTATCTAATTGAAAGATGCAACTCCTTGGCCCTATATAGAGAGGGCATGTACAACCTGATATGAGAATCGTGCTTGAGCATGGCAGTGAGTATCTGGGTCCCCTGTTCCGATTTTTGGAAAGCAAGGTTGTTTTATTGTATCCAGAAATGATAGTTTTGTGTCCCTAGCATGTGTTGAGTGAATGCATTTATTGGTGCAAATGTGTAGTGTAAGAGGGTCAATGGCAGAATATTCAGTACCTGTTGACCTTATTATGTTTTTTATATAATGTATGTAGAGGGTGATCAAGGAATATCGAGTACTCCACCACCATAATTGAATAAAAAATATGTAAATAGGAAAAAATGTATTTAAGAATGGGTGAGTGTTAATAGATTTATTCACATCTACATGCTTTGGGTGCTGAATTAATCTAGTTGTTGACTGCAAGGAGCCCAATCCCAGTGGCTGGATAGATAAAACTTTGGTATACCCCCAGTCTGCCACCCCTGGATTGCCGGTAATTTATTGTAAATCCCCAAAGCTGGAATTGCCGATGGACTGCGATAAGTGATAGGCTCAACTCCATTAATGTTTGTATACATGTGCCTATTTGAGCATATATAAATCAAAATTCAAAAAATAATTACAATAAAAGTATTTAAAGAGTACACTGAATGTAATTATTAAAAAAATGAAAAGGTGTGAAAAAGAGTATAAAGTACACAAATGGATATAAAGAAGGATTGTCAGAGTGAAGATATCAAAGTTTGTATGAATGAGTTAAAATGTATTTTTGTTAAAAAGATGTTTCTTTCTGTTTGGACTATTGAAAAAGTGGTGATGTAGGCTTTTTTTAGTGAATGTGGTTGCTTCTCTAGTATACAAGGAGGCATGTGAAAATTAAAAAAGTGTAGTAAGTCTGCGCAATCAATCCTGCCATGGGGTGTCATGAACAATTAGTAGGTTGGTCCAAAGTCTATGATTAGTAGAGGGTTGTTCACAAATGTCATAACATCCTGATATGGGGCATCGGAGATGTCTCCAATTTTGCAATACCATACAAGAGAAACGAATCTCCTTTGCACCACCACCATTTGTACTTGGTAAGGCGACCATACCAATTAACCATATTCTATTCTGTACTCTTGAGGTGGTTTTAAACTGTTGGCAGAGAGTAGTTTTTTCCTGTCGAACCCATATTTTTATATCAAAAAAATAACATGAGAATATCATAAAACTAGCAATATTACTTTTTAGCCTATTACAAAATTGCAGCATGTACATAGTCAAATTATATGCGATTTGGCACTCTTTTGAAATGGTGCATCCTTGTGGGGTAGACTCATCCTATCTTGTGTGCACAGACTCCCTGAGTCATGGGCTTTAAGGGCAAGTAGTGAGTGCACCTTTTTGTGATTTTTTTAAAGATTTTTTTTACAATATGCTGTTGGAGAACCTCAGAAAAAGGTACTTGTACCCGGACATATTCATAAATCTGCAGAAGTGGTGAAAGCCCCTCCCTCCATGAACTAATCCAACCTACTAATGCTGGACGAGTACCAAACAATGAAAATAGACTGGGCATCAAAAGCAGAACTACTTGATGTACAGAGCATGAAGAAAGCGCTACAATCAGAATATTTTGCAAGGTATAAGAAAATGATACTACAACTATGACTTTACGGCTGTAACAATTATTCATAAAATATATTTTACTAAAAAATATTGAAAATAAATGAAAGTTGAAAGCTTCAGGTGTTGTCATTCGATATCAATGTAAAAAGAAAAATTTGTCTTGAACAAGCCCATTTATACTACAGCTGTTCATAATGTCGACAACATGATTTTTAAGGTTGCTAGATAAGTATTTTCATGATCCATGATTTCAACGAAATTACTAGATAATCGACAGAGAAATACGGGTTAAATTATAATATTGTAGATGCTACCCACGAATGGATATGTAGTTACTTTTTGTGACCAAGAATTAATTTTGTAGTGGCCTTTACACATTAGCCAGCAACAATGATGTATACATATGATATAGTTGTGGGGTCAGAAATTCCAGGTGTGGCAGTAAGAGTCGAATTCATGACCACAGGGTCTACAAGCAGAGAGTGTGACGCCCTAACCACTCAGCTACCGTGGGCCGCATTTGCATAGTCAAATTCTGTTATAAATTTACCATTCAATTAGGTATTACAAAACTTAATAATAATAATTAGTAATAATACTAATAATTACTTAATAGGTATACACTTGAGAATCCAGTAATGATTTAAAAAAAAGTTTTTCCAGGGCTATACAGAATTTGACTTAAATATGAAAAACTCAATATAAAGATAATTTAAAGATTAGCTGATGTGTAAAAATATATAAACAACAAATAAATATAGTAATGGATAAATATTGCAGTTTATTGATTCAAAACATAGATTTGATTTGATCCATTCAGTTGAAAATAAGACAATTTTTACTTTGATTATTTTATATCATATTTTTTTAATGGAGGTTGTTAATTTTTCCTTATTTTATGTTTTATTAAAGAAAATAAATAGATTTTGGTATTTCACATTATTGAACAACATAATAGCATTATTAATTAAATACTTATGTATACAGTCTTTATATTTACAAAACAAAACTTTAACTTAAAAATATTTTTAAAAAATCGTAACAATATTGCAAAGTTTGGGGCAAAAATAAAAAAGTGTTAAAATAAAACAATTAGGAGAGATTTATCACATTATAAAAGTGTTTACAAATTTTAGGGCACTTGAGGAAGATGACTTTCATATTGTCACTGTATAAATTTTTTGTTGTGGGGGGGGGGTCTTAGGAAAGACTAGAAAAAAAGTGAGTGGAAAAAAAAGGAGGGACATCGGGGACACAAAGCGTTACCAGAAGGAATGTTTCAGATGGAATAGAGATAAGAGTCGTATTTCTTTCTTGGAGGAGGGTGGATGAACGGTGAGAACATTGCCAGTGAGAAGCGGCCAAAGACTGCTTGGATGCTTTTCCATCTAGACTTCTTCACCCAACGTGCTTCCTCTTTCTTCAACTGCTCAATACCCTGTAAACAAACAAAATTTTATCTGGACAAATTTCTTTTGCGAAGAAATATTTTATATAATCTTTTTTATTTCTGTTTTTGTTTTTGAACACTTTTTTTACAACGTGCCTTTCTTTCTACGTGCAGTTTCTTGTGCCAATGAATAATACAGAATAAATAAACAGATCACGACTTATATTAAGTTAACAAGTGAATCAAAAAATAAACAAATTAATCACCCAAAGCTTGTGTAAAAGTTTTGAGAGTAGAGAGTTACTGAGAAGTAGCACTTAACTAGTTACTAAAGAACCAATGAACATTTAAATTAAAAAATAATTATTTAGAAATCATGAGATGCGGTCTAGTGTGATGTAGGTTTCAGAAAAACATTTTCTTTTTCGTGCCAACATTTCGATCTTTATTGAGATCATCTTCAGGGCTCAAAGTGTTTGTCTTCTGTGTAATTGTGCCATTCTTGCGTGTAATAAAGTTGCCAATAAAGATCGAAAGATCGAAACGTTGGCACGATAAAGAAAATGTTTTTCTGAAACCTACATCACACTAGACCGCATCTCACGATATCTGAATAATTATCGATTAACGGTCACTAATCACCACACATTTCTACACGAGAAGAACGGATAAATTAAAAAACTTGGGTTGACAAGAAAATAATGACTTTTTTACAGTATATGTTTTTATTTTCTATACCTGGCGTGTTTTTAACTATTCGGACATTTATTGTCCATTTTTTGCAATTACTTTTTGCCATCTTTCAAGTACCACATCCATTCCTTTTACATAAAAATTCCCTTCTTTTAAGTCCAGGAATGTTTGAACAGCTGTTGAACACTTCAGAATTTTTAAAGTTTTGGCATGTAGAAGAAAATAAAAATAAAAATACAGAGAGGTACTGGTCTTGGGCGACTCTTCCACTGCCTTGTCTCCCTGCCCCCTGGATGATGGATGCTGGATCCACCGGCCCTTAGCTCAGCAGACCTCACTTACCTAGTCTAAAATTATTGTGGTTGACCATAACCCATTGTGGTTGACTACCTTAAAAAAAATGTTTTGGCCATTTTAAATTTTTTGTAATGACCGAAAAAAGTAGTAGACATAAAAAATGTCCAGAGAGTTTGGCGGGTGTAATAAAATTTCCAAATTCAGATTATTTAATAATCTTTTGTCCTCAAAGCAGTATGGAGGGCGGGTGTGGTCATGGCAAAAGACTATACCTTTTCTGTTTGCAAGTGTAGGCCATTTTTGCTTTATTTGAAGGTTTAAACAAGCTAGCTGGTGACAGTACAGTTCACTATTAACCATTTGCCCTCGAGAAAAACATAAAAAAACTAAAAGAAAATTATTGTATTGCTCGATGTCAAGCGGACCACGAAATTAGTGAATTGTCTTTTATATACCGACTTCCTTCCCCACCCCTTCAAAACCAAACATATATAAACATAAAATAGCAAAATCTCACTGGCACTGTAAACACGACATGCAAGGATGGCACAGAAGACAAACACTTTGAGTGAGTAGAAATATTTTGTTTGAATATAAAATATATTTTCCATTGTATAAATTCACTTTTCCACATCCTAAATGTATTTGTTAAATGAAAACATTGTTTGTAAATTCCAGGCCCTGAAGATGATCTCAATAAAAGATCGAAACATTGGCACGATAAAGAAAATGTTTTTCTGAAACCTACGTCACACCAGACCGCATCTCCCGATATCTGAATAAAATAAATAATGCCTTAATGTGTTTCATCTAAAGACATGATTACCTATTAAATTATTCGACACAACTAAAGAAGTTGAACATAAAAATTGAGGAGAAATAAAGCATTTTAATTTAGGGATTAAACAAGTGTAATTATAAACAAAATAATATGGAAAAAATGTTAAGCTAATTAATCCTACAATGGAAAAATGACATTACTTTTTTTGTCAAACCAATATAATTCAATTTTTAATAAATTTATATACCAGAAAAAGAATGCTTACAGTTTTGTCATTCCAAATAGCCTGGAGTTGGCTGAAAAGCATTGCAGCTGTGAAGATAGCAAAGAGGAGTGCCTCAAATATGAGGAAAACGAGAAGTATGACAGTTGTTGGGGGGCTATAAGAAGAACAGTCTCTCCATTCGTAATCAATACAAAAAAAGAACTGATGCGCAGCCATGATCAGTGAATGAACTGACATACAAGCTATATACAACTGAAATGAGAATGCAATAATCCAGATTAAATTATGAACATGTAATAATTTGAATATTAATTGACACCCTATTTACCGTGAAAAGAACAAAAAATTTCTGATTATCTTCTCCAACACAATTGTTAACCCATGGGCAATGATGGTCCATTTTTCTTATACACCTTGGTAAAAAAAGAATTTATTAAAACAATGTTGATAATAATAATGATTTTACAGCAATTGTAAGATTTTTGTAAAATACTTGTTAAACAAATAAAAATTTGCTAACTGTTTCATGTCATTTAGAGTTGTGATAAAACTAGATGATATCATTGCATTGTAAAAAAGCAAACCTTTGGCAGACAGAGCAGTGGTGCGCCCTTTCCGGTTTGATACTGCAACACTTCTGACACTTGAAGATGACCTGACCTTCCCTCCATCCCATTTGCTGTATCATTTCTTTTGTCGCATTGCCCTTTGGCACAGAGCCCTGTAAAACTTGGTATTCTAGGTGCTTCTCCACCGATATAAAAAATACAAAACATCTCTTACCGGATCAGTTAGCATTGTCTTGAGGTGAGAGGTGATTGCAAGTATTCCAAAAAATAGAAATATTACACCATTGAATATCGAGTAAAATGTGTATGGGTGCGGGAGGATGATGACAGTCATCACAACGAAGTCAGCATAAAGTATGAGTAGCCATGTCATCACTGCACATACGATTCCACATATGTCCTGAAAATATAAAACAGCAAGTGGTGAAGTGTAACTGTTATACATAGTTTGATCATTTCCAATACGTTTGATCTATCCTCACTGTTTTGGTCTGTAAGACACATTCAGCTTCTTGCCATCTTCAGACACAGTTGAAGATATTCAACAGACCAAAATTATCAGAAATGACTATACAACAGGTTCATCACCCCACAGACCAGACCTCAAGTTTATGAAGGTACTCTCACAGGTTTTATGTATGTTAGGCCATTTCAACGTTTGCACTATACCAACATGTTACAGTTAATAAAATGGTCATCAAAGTATCCACACTACTTAAGATGGCTCCAGAAATGCGGGTTTTGCCAAATGCTGAGCAAAGGTTCGCCGAAGCTCGACTAGTGGAGATGGGTACTTGGATATTAGCAACAATTTTTGGTGCTCACTTGCTCGGCTAATTGTCGGTTTTCTTATCTGCTTCAAAGTGCATGAATATTCGTGAAGCAGCCCAACTCAAGCATCTGTTTCTGTCGGTTAGGAATGGATTGGCCCAATCTGTACTAAGCTGAACCAACAATTTGGAACGCTTCTCTTCCGAATCACAAAAATCGGAACAAGGTTTTCGGTGTGTGGAAATGGATCGAAACTAAGATGGAGCAATAGTACTCTGTGACTGAGTTTGTAGCCCCCGGTGTGCTTCTTCCATCGAAGAAACTCATTTTTGAAGGGAGTTGGGACCAAATTCAGGGTCGCTCAGATCGGATCCCCAGACCTTCCATTGATGAGTGCTGTGTCAATTTCTTTCAATTCCAGCCACAGGTCTCCTTAGGCATCAGAATAAAAAGTCCAGAGGTGGAGGTAGAGATAGAGATAGGGAAAAAAAGAGGCAGCCCACAAGGCCTACTGCACCTGAACCTGAGTAGATTTATTTTGCTCCCCTGTTATTTATAACTCACTGGCCAGCTTCAGATTGTTAATCAGCCTCCATAGCTTTGCCTGCGGCTTCTTATTGTAGGATCTTGCTCGCGGTTTTTCTTGTCCTAGTTGCAAGAACCTGCACCTACATAGACCTTCACAGAAATATAGAATGAGTTCTGCGCTCTCCTCCTCTTCCTGGCAGTATCTGCACAGTGTTTCTTCCGTCTGTACTCCTATCCGGTGCACGTGCTTCCTTAAGTGGCAATGTCAGAAGTCAAACCAGAATCTTGGTTCAGTTGGCTTTGCTTTCCAGTAATTCTTTTGTAAGTTTTACAGATGGTCCTTCTATGAAACTCTTCGCATGCCTCATACCTGTGGTCTTGTTCCACCAGGTGTTGCACTCATTAAGGATCCTTTTAAGATGTCTCCTCTTTCGTAGCAAGATGCTAGGCCACCAGTAGGGTTAAGGACCTAGAGTCCATGTTGGCCAACATGTCAAACTTTTTGTTGCCTCTAACCTAACCATCTCTATGCCCTGAATGCCCAGGGACCCATGCCAAGGTCAGGTCATTAGTGGTGCTGACTTCCGCCCGGGCCTCCATGCAGTTCCAAACACTCTTTGCCTTCACCTCGCATGAGGCTAGGGCCCTTAGTGCTGCCTGACTAGATGGCTATCTTCCAGGAATGTATTCCTAGCCTTTTTATTTCTCTGGTGCATTGTTCAATTGCTGTGATTTCAGACTAGAAAACTGTCGTTTATTTACCGTCAATTTGGTCTTTGGGTTCATCCCGAAGACTCCAGCTCTCATACCCTTGTCGGTTTTGGAGCCGTCATTATACCAGGAGTTTGCCTTTAGCAGACAGTGGGGATCGAACCCATGACTGCAGGAGAGCCATATTTTAGGTTTACTGCCACACCTATCAGGTGACCAAGGTTTCAAAGTTAATAGGTACAGTGTTAATGTCGACCTGGCACTAAAGATGCTGAAATGGGTTAAAACATGTCTGACATGTTCAGGACAGTGAAGATCAAATTATAAAACTAGCCACCTCATACAGGAGGAATGGAGCACTGTTATGATTAAGTTAATAACAAGCTACTTAAGTAGAAGGGAGATATTAAATATATAAACCAATCCATTGTTAGAGTAAATGTGAAAGTAAAATGAATGAACTTAGATTTTTATATTATTGTCGTGATATAGTACAGTATAGATAAAGGGATTTACTATTGTTCATGAGCAAAGCCTAAGTATTGAACAAGACTTCCAATGGATTGGTGATGAGTGGTGACTCACCTTGATGCACCAAAACAAGCCCGAACAGCAGCGATTTGGGTCCGCTTCCCGTCTATACTGGCCGAATTCATAATCCATTTCCTCCTTAATCACGTACCTGGATAGGATTAAAGGTCTTTGGCAAAACCCCGTCACCTAAATCCCGTCAGAAACTCCTTCCTGCATAGCTTAAATGCACCTGTCCAGGGATGCATTTAAATCCGTTTTGGGCCCCCGGTTTCGAAAGTTGGACAACCAAAACAGTAGAAACTGACGTGCGGGTCTGGAGTATAATCAAACTAGAAGGACATGGGGGAAACCTCTCCAGATCCAGAAGCATCGGAGTCAACGACGACATCAACGGATTCCAAATCGAAATGTTTCATTATTGAAGGGCGGGACCGAAAAGTGCCGTGGAAATCAAAAATATGTGTTTTAGTCGTTTTTTGACACACGAAATTACAAAGTACGGGTAAAATTAAGTCGATGCCTAAAAGCAAAAAACGTCACCTGGGTTAACTCTTAATTCTATGTTTTTGACAACTTTCGACCTATAAGCTCCAACAGATAACGGCGCCTTTTTCTAATTCATTTTTAATTTTTTTTTAAATCAATACAACTTGAAAACAATCAATCTCCATAATATTACACGCTTAAACAGTTGTTCTTTCAAGTACAAACAAAAGCAAAGACATGACAAATCAAAAATAAAAATCTCAAGACAACCCCTTTGTCAAATGACCAGTGGAGTCATCATATTTTTTACGAACACTCTAGACCAAGGTATGGCTTTGAAGAAGAAAGCAAATTTAGTTACTACTACCAAGCTTTCCAACTATTGCAAGGTCATCATCAGGGCCTATATTATTTTTACATTGTACAATTGATTTAACAGTCAATGTAACTATATAGAACTTACAGAACAACCTTAAATATCCTTTTTTTTTTTTTTTTAAACCCCTAACCATCCCTAATCTTAAATATGTCTTATGTTTTTACATACTGTTAACAGTCCTTGGCAATGCTGGGACTGAGTCAGTTTGAGAAAATTTGAGATCACCTGAAAAAAGTGAAATATGTCAATCTATAGACATATTTAATGATGTTTTGTAAGTTCTCTATAGTTATATTGATTGTTAAATAAATGCCCTGATGATGTCCTTAAAGTAGGTTGAAAGCTTGGCAGTAGTAACTAAATTTGCTTTCTTCTTGAACATCATACATTGATCCAGAGTGTTTGTAAAAAATATGACTTCAGTATTAGAAGTATTGACCACTTTTTCATTTACAAACACTCTGGATCAAGGCATGGTCTTGAAGAAGAAAGCAAATTTAGTTACTATTGCCAATCTTTCCATCTATTTTAAAGTCATCATCAGGTCATATTATTTTTACAACATATTTGTACAATTGATTTAACAATCAATGTAACTATATAGAACTTACAGAACAACTTTAAACATATCAGCAGATTGATATGTTGTTGGGACTGGGTTAGTTTAAGGAAATTTGAGATTACCTGAAAAAACTGAAATATGTCAATCTATAGACATATTTAATGAAGTTTTGTATAATTATATTGGTTGTTAAATCAATTGTAGAAATATATAATAAAAATAATATGTCATGATGATGACCTTAAAATAGGCTGACAGCTTGGCAGTTACCTTGATCCAGATTGTTCATAAGTGAAAAAGTGGTTGATACTTCTAATATTGAATATTAATCTGTAAATAATATTCCTACACCAGATAACAACATTGTAAAAAATATGATATTATATTAAATATTATGCTGTGTTATAATCTGAGTTAAGATTTATTGCCACCATTGTTCATAATATTTATTTAATATTTTAAATAATAAAACGAATTTAAAAAAGCTTAAATTTTTATCAATTAATTATTCTTTTTATGTCATGTTTTGATTGAGATGAAAAGAATAATTAATTGAAATAATTAATATGGTCAACTAGATGACTAAACATAAATGGCTTAAATTTATTTTTTATATATAGCTAATATGTAAATAATGTCCCTATACCAGTTTACAAAATTGTATAAATATGATAGTATGTTAGATATTATGCTGTGTTATAATCTGAGCTAAGATTTATTACCACCATTGATAATATTTATTTAATATTTTTAAACCATAATTATTATTAAAACTTTAAAAAAATAAGTTTATACAAATTGCTAATATGTGAATAATGTCCTTACACCAGATTACAAAATTGGATAAGTATGATAGTTATTAGATATTATGCTGTGCTATAATCTGTGCTAAGATTTATTGCCACCATTGATAATATTTACCTAATATTTTTAAACCAAAATTATAAAAGCTTAAATAAAAAAATATATTTATACAAATTGCTAATATGTGAATAATGTTCTTAAACCAGATTACAAAATTGTATAAGCATGATAGTACATTAGATCTGAGCTAGGATTTATTGATAACTGTTGATAATATGTATTTATTTAATATTAAAAAAAAAAAAAAAACCAACTTAAATTTATACTTTTATAAATAGCTAATATTTAAATATGGTTCCTACACCAGAATACGAACAGTAAACTTATATGTAAATATGCAACTAAACCAAATCATTAAATTGTTAAAATAAAATAATTTATTAGATATTAAGCCAACTCTGCAGCACAAGGCTATTTGTGTTCAAGTTATTGTCCATTTAGCATTTAACTTTTTTTTGTAAGAAGTTGCGTCTTTTGGAATGCAATAATAATAAACACGTTTCTACGCTATGGTAATAAATTCATCAATATTTATCAATTTTATTTGCTTGTCAAGTCGTAGCGTAGTTGCGTGCCGAAGGATTATTATTGATGATGCCCTCAGCCGGCGAAACCTCCCAAAGATGAAGCCGATTTAACAGATGAAGGTGGTTGTGGGTTTCGGAAGGGTCTCGTAGCTGACCAACGTGGAAATAAATGTCAATCCAAAAACCGAATCAAGCACGAATTAGCACACGTCCTAACACGACGGCCCGTTTTGTTTAATTTCCAAGGAAAATCAAATTAACATGTCTGTGAGTATTGAGTGTTTTGCCTTATCACTTACTACTGTTTATTTATTGACTTAACAGTTCAGTCATGTTTTTTTCCCTACTCTTCTCTGAAATATTTCATGAGTCTATTTGATTTCAGCCTCCAAAAGGAAAGCAAGGGACAAAAGGTCAAAAGCAGATAGTCGAAGAAAATGCGGAAACTATGAACTTCTACCGCACAATGGTGCTTGGTGCGACTGGCATCTACCTGGCCGTAATGTTCATATTCTTTGAGTTTTTCACCTTTTTCAATATAGTAAGTAACATTTGTATTATTTTGGCTGCCGATAATTTGTCTACCTACTTATGCCGTATGTTTAATCTTGCATATTTAAAAAAAAATTGACCGCTTACTACTTTCTTCTAACAACTAAATATGGCTCATCGTGGAGGGCTTCCACCTATTCTCCTGGCTATATACATACATTTATTTAATTAGTTATTTGTTTTTTATTAATTATTATTTCCAATTTTTTTGCAAAAATGGTTGAGAAAAAATAGTGTCATGAGCAGCATTAGAATGTTCTTCTCAACTGTATTTGCATAAAAATTGGAAATAATGATTAATAATAAACAGATAGCCCATTAAATAATTAGAGTTGATGTGTTTTGGCCTGTGAGTTGGTAAACTCATGTTGAACCAGCACGGAGCTTGTCTCTACTCTTTTTATTTTTATTTTATTTATTTATTTATTTTTTTCACTTATTCAATTTGTTTTGGCATTGCACCATCTTCAGTGAGGAACTGTCTGTCACCTTGTATGAGTAGGATTTGTATAGTGTTGGGTCCATTCCTTGTTGCTGGGGGCATTGTGTAAGTTTGTAATGTGTAATGCTATACACGATGTTTGGCTACTCATGTTACAAACATTGCCAGTAGATTCCACATTCAAAATCAAACCAAAAAGTCCTAATTAACTATGGTCTGAATCTCAACAGTTGCGGAGTTATTCCACTTTTTCTGATTTTGTACGATTTCACGACCTTGCTTCAAATAAAACAATGATAACTCCAAAACTAAAAGATTTTGGACAAATCTGTTGATAACCATTGAAAACTACGTTGAATTTCCAATAAGATGTGATCAATACTAAACTTGTATGTGTTTAGTTCGTGAAATAAGTGTTTCAGTAGTGAAAACTTTGAAAAATAATTTTTTTTTTCAAAGTTGAAAAACTTACTATGGTGATTTTAAACTACTAATTCCAAACCTAGAGACCAGCAAATTTCAGAAAACACTCCATTTAATTTCCTTTTTAGTTGTGAAATTGCTTTTTTAATTACTTTTTTCAAAGATGAAGAAATTGATGAAGGAAAGGAAAAAACCGTGTCTGGCTGATCGGTAAGGTGGAAAAAAAAACTTAAAGAAATTTTGAATGAATTTATTAAACTTTTTTTTTTATAATTTTGGTTTGAAACCGAAATAGTGCAAGTGTTTACTTATTTACCAACACGCCTGCAACTTTGATTAAAGGATTATTGAATTATTATTCTCCGGAATAAAAGAGTTTTAAGATTCAAAAATTTTTTTTTATCTATGTGATATCTTGCTAACACCATGGCTACTTTTTCGAATGAAGGATACACTGATATACATCTTATGTACGGGTTTTGCAGGTTTAATGCGACAGCAGCGTGTCGAAAAAACATTGCGGAGGGTGGAGAGCATTTCAAATCAAAATTCATAAACGTTTAATAATTCCATTTAAAATTTCCTTAAGTTTTTTATTTTTTATTATTATTAATATTTTCACCTTACCAATCCTCAATCACGGTTTTTTCCTTTCCTTCATAAATTTCTTCATCTTTGAAAAAAGTAATTAAAAATGGATATTAAATGGAGTGTTTACTAAAATTTGCTGGTCTCTAGGTTTGGAATTAGTAGTTTAAAATCACCATAGTAAGTTTTTCAACTTTGAAAAAGAAATATTTTTCAAAGTTCTCACTACTAAAACGTTTATTTCAAAAACTAAACACATACAAGTTTAGTATTGATCACATCTTATTGGAAATCTAACATATTTTTCAATAATATTGACGGATTTGTCCAAAACCTTTTAGTTTTGGTGTTATCATTGTTTATTTGAAGCAAGGTCCTGAAAATTTAAAAAATCAGAAAAAGTGGAATAACTCTGAAACTGTTGAGATTCGGACCATAGTTAATTAGGACTTTTTGTCCCATTTTTAATGTAGAATCTACTGGCAAAATTTGTAACATGAGTAGCCGAACACCTTGTATAAGCCCAACTCAGACAAAGTGACAGACCATTCCTCATGGAAGATGGCGCAATGCCACAATGCATTTGGATAACGAAAAAAAAATGAAAGTGGAGAGAGACCCAGTAAGTCAGCCAGTTCAACATAATTAAATAAGTGTGTGGTGTTTAGTGACTGTTAATTAATGATTATTTGGAGATTGTGAGATGCGGTCTGGTGTGACATAGGTTTATAAAAACATTTTCTTTATCATGCCAACGTTTTGATTTTTATTGAGATCATCTTCACGGCCTGGGATTTATAAATATTGTTTAAATTATACAGATACATGTATGATGTGAAAAAATGAATTTATACAATGATAGAAATTTTAGACTCAATCCAAGTCTTTCTACTCACTCAAAGTGTTTGTTTTCTGTGTAGATCTCACAATCTCCAAATAATCTAATTAAATAATTATAATCAATGGATGTTGCCCTTACATCAAAACTAATCATTGCTAATCATATATTGTAATGCATCTAAATGATGCTACGAGGTTTGAATATTAGTGGTGAAGGGGAAATTTAAATAATAGCCGGTTGAGAGGAGAAGTTGGTGTCTCAGGTGATTAAGGTTCAGATAGTCCAAGTGATTACAGCACCGGCAGATTAAAGTCGTGGGTTTGAATCCCTTCCCCCCCTTGAATCCCCCACTAATTTTTGTTCTCAACTGTCTTTGCATAAGAACTGGAAATATAGATTAAATATATTTATTATATAAATATATAGATATGTATGCATTTGTGTGTGTGTGTGTGTGTGTGTGTGTGCGCGTGTGTGTGCGTGTGTGCATGCGCTTTTTCCAACTTATGGTGTCAAAAACTTTCTTCAAGACTGTCCTGTTGCAAATATAAATTCGTCACCATTTTCATCAGTACATGAATTTTCGCAATGTCTTCTGGATTTTGAATAGAAAATATTTTTTGTGACACCATTTTATCTCTGGGAAAAATATGAAAATTATTTATAAAATAGAAAAAAAATTATATGCCCTTTAATAAACATATTAGAGGGCAAGAAAAGGGAATCTAACAGTTTTTTGAGCCTATAAAACAGTAAAACACAATAACATGTCTTACTTAACAAAAGTTATAATTAAACCTTAGTAAAAAAAATCATGTATAGATACATACATACATAGCCATATAAAAATGTGAATAAAACTTACAGATACAATTGTTGCAGGTTATGTTTATAATTTCATCTGTGGCTTATTTAGGGAGCCTGCAATTTATGGCACATATGGCTAAACCAACTCTGGGTGACAAAGGCCAGGTTGTTGATTCTGGCATAGATCTTAACATGGTCGGCGGAATTGCCGAGTATGCTTTACGTCTATCAATATTATGTTTTTGTTGATTCTGATGAGTAACTAAAGCTTTTTTTTAGGCATTTGAAGGATATGATTATATTGACTTCAGGATCACAACTTCTTTCCCTTATATCTAATTATTTTTGGCTTCTGATGTTATTGGTAGGCCTCTTAAAACACACAAACAAAAATGTGCATTTGGCATTAATTTAATTTTGTCTTAGGCACCGGGGAGAGCGCTGTACTTTGTTTGGGTGAACATTTTGTCAGTGTACTTCTTCCAAGAAGCACCGTCACAGGAGATGGACGAGAAAAAACAGAAGAAACTAGAAAGGAGGATGAAAAGGCAACAGCACTGACTTTCTTGAAAGGAAATAAACTAGGTCAGAAACAAAATGGTTGATATTTAAAAACACAAATGTCAAGCCGTTCACTGTGTCCTCTGCCAGAGTTTGTCCCTCACAGTTTTATTTTATTCGCTCGAGCTCTCCCTACGAGGAAACAAAAAACAAAAAAAATGAAAAGATCGAAGGAGGAACATTAGTGAGCTGATTTTATATATAATATTTTACTGAGGTTTTATTGAGAAACAATAGATTTTATTATATATTTTTTATTCGTAAGTTTGGAATTGGAACATCTATTTGTAAGTATTTAATTTTATTTCATTAGAAAAACAAAACAAAAAAACATTTAAGTGAGTTTATTTTTCAATTCAACTATATACTCACATTCAAGTAAAAAGTTTTCATGTACTTATCAATGATAAATATATAATTAAAGTGTTATGAATAAAAATATACATTTATTTCCAAAATGTTCTCATGCCTCCATAAACATATCAATGTTAATAAAAGCATTTTATTTTCTAATTTAAACAGAAAATATAAGAATAATAAGAAATATGCCATAATTAATTTTAATAAGTCAATTGCTCTAATTATACTTTTAATTAAAATATACTTTACTTAAATTATACTTTTGTCTTTTTGGGTAAAGACGCAATTTTTAGACATTGTTTTCAAAACTAAGAAAACAAGAATGATAAATTTAAAAAAGTACTTAATTTATTGCAGATTGTACAGTTACGCTGATATCAAACCAGTCATCCATATTTTAAACCAGCTTGAACATTTAAACGAATTTTAGAACAAAGGTTGGTTAGATTGTGATTAAAATTTATACATTCGTTTGACCAATGCATTCAATCCTAATTTCAGGTTTATTTTGTTTTTGATTGGTTATTAGTAAAATTTTAAATTACTTAGGTTTATAAAATATTTCACAATTAAGAAATTGCAATGGCTGACCAAACTTACCAATGTAATGCAACCTACAAAGAGGGAAACGTATTGATTTATGAAGCAAATTAGGTTTAAAATTTTTAATTGGGAACAGTTAATAATATAGTTTCCTCAACAGACAGGATACAGAAAACTTTGGTTTATTTATAGATATAACAAATACTTCCAATATTTCTTTATGTCTCTTCTGAATATTGATAATCTTAAAATTTTGTGAACTTAGGTGTGGAAATATGATTCTTTTGTTGATTTTTTCCAATGCATTTTTTGTGTATCTGTTTTGTCAAATATATTTATTTGTTGTTTAGCATTTTATAACTGTACTAACCCCCTTCTGTACTAGCTTATATTTTTACCTTCATTCATCCAAATGGATCAAATTAGAAAATTAGAGCAGTCAAAGATTTTATTCATTTCATTGCAGTTCAAACGGGTCAAAAATGACCCACAATTGGACAGTTAAGAGTACAAAAAACATACATAAAAATTTAGAATTTAAAAACATTAGATAAAAATAATAAATGAATAATAACTGCAATAGATAATATTTACTAATCTATTTAATATTTCATTCTGTTATAAACTGTATAATTTTTAGTCTTAAATTATTTGAAAAATTGCAGTTCGTTCATCTCATTTGTTTAAAAATATAAGGGATGGTCTAATTAATAAATTAAATTGTGTTTCTCAAAGATTACTATCTGAAGTGGGACAATAATTAACTTATCAATTATGATTTTTTTAGTTAGCAAAAAAAATGAAGTAAATTCAAAACATTTATTTTTGCTTAGTAAAATCTGTTTAGCCATCCATTTATTCTACCGATCTTTAGGAGCTTTTTTTGATACTTTCTTTTGCTTAGTTCCATCTTTTTTAACAGCCATTTTTATCGTATCTTTAATCCATGTTTTGTTTGGGCCGGTATTTTTTTCTGCCTTTTTCGGTTTTTTCCCCATTTTTTTACTGACCTTTTTGATTGCTTCTTTTATCCACACTTCATTTTTCTCTTCGTCTTTTGTTTCTTTTGATGCTTCTTGTTTAATAACTGTTTTACAAGGTTCGTCCTTTTTTATTTCCACTTTGTTACCCTTCATTTTACTCATGTTAATTCCTTCTTTTATATCACGTGTTATATATTGTGACTTTTTTCTCATGGCTTCAGCTGTTGGCCGGTCTCTAATTACTATAACATCTCTTTTCAAGTTAAGTTTTTGTTTATTTTTAACCTCTTGTTTAACCTGTTGTGCTTTATTCTCTTCAGATTTTTCTGTAGTTTTTCTTGTTTTGTTATCTGCTATTGTTGTTATCTGATTTTCTTTCTGAATGTTTATTTTTACTTCTTTAGGTTCTTTTTTTAGGTCAAATATACTTTCTAAAAGATTGTTTTCTTTATGTTCTGCTGCTTCTTTTGGATTCTCTTTATTTGTTAAAATATCTTCCAAAGCTTGGTTAATACTCGGAGTCGGTTGTTCAACAACTGTCGTTCCTTTAGTTTCTTTGTTGTTTTTATCAGATGTATTAAAAATTTCATCAGCAGATTTGGTTTCCACACTGTTTGCCAATTTGGCTTCTTGTTTAGTATCTTTCGGTATTTCCTGTTCTTCATTTTTATTTTTGTTTTCTGTAGGTGTTTCCTTGTCTTTCAATTGAATTTCTTCTGTTTCCCCTTTTACAGCATTGTTTTTATTCTGTTCTACACTGTCTTTGTTCTCTACAGATCCATCGGTGCCCTTCATTTGTAAAATGGAACGTTTTGATTTTGGACCCTCATTTGAATTTTTATCCCCTTTGTCTTTTGTACATTTACCTTCTCCATTCTGCCTGGGCGTAAATATTTGAACGAAAGTACCTATCATTTCCAGAAGCATATGTCCAAAATGAGGTATGAGCTCAGGTGGCATGTTGTAGCCATATTGCGGACCTGGCAAGTAGATACTATAGCAGTATTTTACATTGGCAATGGCCTTTGCCCAGTCGAGACTTGTCCCTGCCGTACGACCTGCAAAAATAAATTGGCATTTATTATTGAGTAAAATCTATATTTTAATTTGTAGTTCACCTATGAGAGATGAAGACTGCCCAACATCAAATTCTGTGTAAAATTTTTCTCTGATTTTGTCACTTACATTCCAAGCTAGAAGTTCCTATGGATAAAAGATATGTATAAACATTAAAAAAACCTAAATACTTGTAATTTCTTTTTAGTAATAATTAAAAGGTAATAAAGTAAACAAACCACCCATATTATTAATTGAAACCATTTGAAGCATAATTAATGGTTTTTGAGAAATTTTCCCATAAAGTGATTCTAATTTAAGATTACCTGGATGGTCAAAAGTTTCTTATGAAAACTAAAGAAAAATTATAGTTATACAAGCTGAAAAACTGAATTAAAGTAAAGTAATTACTGTCATACAATAGAGCTTAATGTCCAACTATGCTTTTAGGTGACAGTAGTTGCAGCAGGGGACATTTTTTTTCTCTAATAATTATAATATAATCTAATATACTACAATCTAATATACAAAGTTGAACCCAGAACAACTAAAATAACAAATACGAGAATCAGACTCCCTAACAACTCAACCACAAGTCCCCAATGACTGAATCCGATGAAAGGGACCATGTCAGAAAACGTGGAGAACGATTTGCTTCATGTGCCATGCGTGAGTCACGTCCTTTTCAAAGACAGTCAGTTATGGTGTCCATGTCGTACCGAACCGATTATCGTGTAGAATGGATCTTTGCTTGCCATAAAGTACATCGAGGAATTTTTTCTGTAAGCTGTGGACCCTTTCGCTCCATTTATTGGAGACAACTTCGTGTTAATGCATGATAATGCTCGATCGCATGTAGCTCACCCATTACTTGAAGGACATAAGATTTACCACAATGAATCGGCCAGGACGTTCTCCTGACATGAATCATAAAGAACTCTTATGTGATATGATAAAGAGACAGGCTAGACATCGTTCGACGCCTGCAACAAGCGTTGAATAGCATAAAACCTGTTGAAGAATGGGTTTATTTTTCACAAGATGAAATCTGGTCACTTATTTACTAGATGGCCAAAATACTTAAGGTCCTTCGCGAGGCCAGAGAAGATAATTAAGAGCAAAACCAGGCAATAAATTTGAGGCCAGAAAAGATAATTAAGAGCAAAACCAGGCAATAAATTTAAGTTAAATTTTGATCTATAACTAACCGATTTTCCGTGTTTTGGTGAATTTTCTTTCAAACCGTCATAATTAAATGGTTTTTGTTACTTACTAATAAATTAAAATGTTTAGGCGTGGTTTTGATTCTAATTTAATTTTTAAATTCCCTATTGATTTAATTATTCGTAGAATCCGCAAACTTTTTCGTAAATTTTGAATTTTGAGAAATTTCACGTCTATAAATCAATTTATTATAAATAAAATCACTTCAGCGGCCCTGGATCCCTGCATGCACCCTGAGGGTTGATATATGACCTCTGCTGTTGCGAACCCNGATCAGGGAATGTAATAAAAGAATAAATAATGAAATAAATTAAAATAAAACACAATATTGAATATTGTACCAAATATAAAAAAATAGTACCAATAATAAGATTAGCTTTATCTTAATTTATCGAAGTCGTGAGGAGCGGTCAATAACAAGGTAGTTTAGAAAAAAACCTTCTTCAATTTTAGCCGAAATTGTGGCGTAAAGTGTTATGCTATTCTTGTGTTGTCATATTGGTTTTGTATGAAAGTGTTGTGAACACTTTACCTTGCAACACTTTCACACAAAACCTATATGACACCACAAGAATAGAACCACACTTTATCTACTGAAGATGACCCGACTAAAGGTCGAAACGCCGGCGAAAAATGAAAAAGGTGTTTTTCAAAACTACCTCATTCTTGAGCGCCCTCACGACTTCAACAAATTATGAAACAACAAGTCACTAAGAAACACACTTCTTTACCTAAAGTTAATGCATCGAGTTATTGTAATTTTTCATTAATTGTTACTCTTAGTTTTGTATAATCATAAAGCAAGGATTTATTACAATTGTACAAACTTTCTTGAATTTAAAAAAAATATTTCTAAAAAGATTGTACCTGTTTGGTAATTTATTATTTTAGAATTACATACATCTAGAAATGTATGTTAGTATGTATTTTATATTTACATTGTGTTAGAAGGTTCTATTTTCGTTTTATTATGTTAAACTATTTTGTATAATTTATTTTTTGTGGCTCTGAACAACAACTTGCTGTCAAGCAAATTATTCACTTAATTATTCAGATATCGATTAACGGTCACTAATCTCTACACATATTCACTTAATGCAGGTTAAATAAAAGGATTTATTTATTATTAAAACTCATGAATTTCTGATCTCGTTTAATTTGGTTTACATGAAAATAAGAATTTTTTAATAAAATACGTGGTCCGGGTTTTTGTTTTTGAGTGTCAATGCAACTTTGAAGAGCTATTGTATACTCCTGAAAAGTGCCGGTTCCAGCGGATATTAGCTGGAAGATAAGGAGCGTTGTTTCCAATTGAGGATGTTCCCTTATTTCAAACCGCATGCTTTGTACAAAAATATTGCCCCAAATGCAATCACACAGCTAAAAGAGCTAGAAAGGGGTTGCTTTAAGTGACGTTAAGCTTCAGTGGGGTGAATTTCCATCGAACCACAGATAAAGGGTTATTGGAAGAAGAGACCAGAGACCACGTGGGGGGTCTGTCCAAAGTAAAAACGCCTTGTTGTTTTTGCGAAAACAATATACAAACGTTCCAAATTAAAATTATTGCATTTTTCCGTCATTGCAACGGATTTTTGCATACACGCTTAAAAGATTCTTTGAGCGCAATTAGAAGTGTCAACAACCCGTGAAAAGGCGTTTCGTTACTAAATGAACGATTGGTCAATTGGTCAATTTATTATTGGCCAAAATCCTTGAGGTTCATCGGAACGAAGTGGACACGCTTAGGAAAACGTCGTTATTGGATCCAATCTTTAGACCGGCTAAATTGCAAATTTCCGTTTTCTATTTGGAAAAAACCCACAGCTTATTAACGACAAAAACAAAAATGACAATTGCGTCCTGAATAAGAAAATAGGCAAAACTGAATCGTATTAAAAATATTTTATAAAAGTTCTTTAGCAAAGATGGTTGATGAGAAATGTTACAGTACAATATACTTTTTGAAAAATTACTCTCTTAATTACTATAGAATTTTTGTTTTAAGACGATTAAGAAAAACGTAAAAATATAAAAAGTTGATTTAATATTTGGGAATTACTAATATCATTTATTGGATCGCATTTTCTTGTATTACTTAACTCCCGAAAGTTTCTTTTTCCTCTCGCTCTCTTCCACTCTTTCACTTTCTAACTGTGTCAACGATAGTTTTTTTGTATACCCCCCTCCCTCTTTCTCACCCCCATCTCTCTCTCACTCCCTCCCCCTCTCTCTCCCTCTCCCCTCTCTCCACNTCTCTCTCCCTCCCTCCCTCCCTCCCTCCCTCTCTCCCTCTCTGATGATAATCTGATGTCCTGAGCAGAATTGGCCTGTACTTCTGAACGTCGCAGGTGAAAACGATCGGGTGACGACGAAAATTTAGAATACTACTATGACTATCCTTTTGAGCCTTGTGACCGGCACAAAGTCGTTGCAGTTGCGAGAAAGACTAGATAAAATTGAAAACGACACGGAGTTTCAACTTGTTTTAACGACGCAATTGTATGGTGTAAGCACCCTGATTGACTGAACAAGACATATGCTTTAAGCCTGTGTATTTTTCCATGAACTTGTGATATTCGATTTTCAAGTCTGGGGATTTATCTAATTTTCTTTTTATGTTGTGGAAACGTGTGAAAGCCCTGGAGCGAGAACTCTCAAGCTATGGTGGGATTCAGCTAAACGGCAGTCCTACGACATATCGTCCGGATTCGGTTCGATAATGATTCTTTACAAAAAATGCGATCGCAATGTAAATCTTCTTTATATAAGAAAATTTGTATAGTCAACAAAACTTGGTTATACTTCAAATTAATCGATAAATAAAAAATCAATTCCGCCTGTAAAAAGTTCATTGCAAATGGACGGATGTACTTTTACCAACTTAGATAAAAATTAATCTTTATGTAAGGAATTGGTTGAGATGAAAAAGTCAGTGTCACGAGCGGGATTCGAACCCACGACGGCTGCTCTGCAACTTGAGCTATCGTGACTTCGACCCACAAGGACACCAACTTCCCATCTCAACCTACCTTTCGAATTTTCCCTCCTTTTTGCAATTGTTCAAATGTAGTGTAATCAGGATTCGATTCTCGGCGACAAATAAAATGGCCACGGAGAGCTTTAGTAAAGATATGCTTCGTTTTACTTATTAAATCCATTCTTTTTCGTGGTCCGTTTGACCAATAACTTCTTTCAATTAATTAATATTTATGTAAAAGGTTGAATGGTTGAAATGAAAAAGTTAGTGTCACGATCGGGATTAATCCCGATCGTGACGCAGACTTTTTCATTTTAACCAATGCCTTACATAAAGATTAATTAACTGAAAGAAGTTATTTGGTCAATCGGACTACGAAACATAATGGATTTAGATAAAAATTTTAATTTAAAGGAAACATAATAATTTCGAACCCTGGTTGTTTAAAACTTCAGGTGGCCGAATCTTTGGAATATAAGCAGGCCGGGTCAAAAAGTGTATGTCCATTTCCGCGAATTTAGCCTGAGAAACGCTTTAGCAAGTTGTCTAGTTGATTTTCTTCGTTCCAGTTGATCACTGGGGGGGCTAAAACTCCATATTTGTACTTCAAAAGTTGTTTCATAACAACTTAGAGTAATTAGCATTGCGGAACAATTTTAAAACTATCTTAGTTCGACCAAACGCATAGCATAAACATTCTGAAGACATGCTATACTGTCTTACACTCTATCACTAAATCGAGGATGACACGAACTCCGTCAAGTCTAGAGTCATCAGTGCTACAACTTTCCTTTCATCAGATATAAATAAATAAGGTAGTTTACAGTTTATGTAATTTTTAAAAAGAAAGTTTTTTTGTACCGACGAGGGATAGAAGGGCGTTATGTAAGATAACAAGTACTATTCAGCCGTGGGCTAATTGCCCTTCAAATAAAATGGTATGTAGTATATAATTGTTTTAAAATAAACCAGTTCTTTCCTGTCTAGTTAAATATTATGTTTGGTGCTTTTTTTTTTTCTGAGTTTAAAAATGTGTTTTAACTACTACGTTTTGGGATTACATTATCCAACCTTATAAAAACTTAACAAAGATAAAAATGTTAACTTATATCAATTTGACAATGTTTCTTTCAATCACGAAGTTATTTTTGTATAGTGTAATTTTGATTAAGAGAGAAAAAACCTTTATTTAGGGAGTAGAGACCCCTAAGAAAATCAATAAGGTCACAAAGTTTTTTTTGTAAATCTGGCACTTGAATTAATAAAGTTTGACGTTTATATATATTGAAATAAATTGACATAAAACACACAATATTGTACCAAATATAAAAAATAGTACCAATAATAAGATTGGGGGCGTCGGTGGCCGCAACGGTTTAGGCGGTGACACGGCGCTCATCAAGTAAGGTAAATTTTATTAACGTCCCGGATTCGAATCCGACATACTTACAAATGGTCTTTTTTTCAAAAACACCGGCACTCCGAGGATTGATCTGCTGTTGCGAACCCGATTTGTAGGGCAAATAGTAATAATAAAGAATACTATCATAACTACTATAAAAGTCGAGAAAAGGAAAGAAACAAACTTTCTTATTTGTTAAAAGGACCTGAAAATAATGTGGACTAAGTTGGCTCTATTTGGAGGGAGATGAGATGTTTGTACAGGAGGGATTTAAAAGAGGTAAGGGAAGTTTCTTTGCGGATTGGCAAAGTAAGAGAATTCCAGATATTTGTGGCTCGAGCAAGGAAGGACCTCTTAAATGTAGAGGTTTTATGACGAGGAAGGTATAGGTCCCTGGGAGATGAGCGGGCGTTAAGAGAATGGATAAAAGATTTGAATTAGCTGGAAAATATAGTGAGGTCGACGAGAATTTATTGATTGGTAAAGAAAGTGGCCTAGGAAATATTTCCTACCGAAGGAGGTATGAAACCAGAATAGGTCTGAATATAGGTGTAATACTCTGGATATTCGGGTGGTGCAGAAAATAAATCTGACCCAACAGTACATTTTCCAGACGCTTATCTTGTTCCTCCGAAAGCTCACTTTAGTGACTGGGAGTTTTGGTGGCCGTAAAAAGGGCCGGTGTTGTTTCGTAGCATCGAGCCCGGAGCAGTGTGCGTATGCCGTTGGTGGTGATCGGTGACCGAGTGAACCGTTAGCTGAGGTCTGGGGGCCGTGAGTCGGTTGACTCCACATAGGCCGAAGGGACTCGAGTGCAGCAATTAGCCGAGAGCAGCAGTTGGCGTTTATAGCCAACTCGGCTGTGTTGAGAAAGCGAGAATCAGGCTAATGTTGTGAGTACCCTTGCTGTTGTCGTTGTCGATTTCAATGTTCCATTAGTGACAGGTAAGACCTCGTCGGGTTGACGAGTCTGCTGTCGTTGTTGATTAGTGATGGGTAAGAACTCGTCGGGCTGACGAGTCTGAGGTCTGCAGGCAGTGTCCCTGCTTATATTCGGAAGGGCTCTATTCTGATTGGCTGCAGAGTGGAGGGCGAGAACATTCCATAAGCGGTAGTGGCCGGTAACTGTATATAGCCACTACACCCACCATAAGGTGTAGTCGAAGAGGCACGTGTGCATGTTAACAAGCATTACACACTAAATACCCCTAGTATACGGGGGGGGGTTGATATGATCGCTCAATTCCAAATCCCCGTAAACAATATTATTTAAAAAAAATTATATAGAGCCAGCGATACCATACGATCCCACATCCTAACAATACTTATACCTACTTCTTCATTTCCTACAAACGTATAGACATTGTATTATTAATAGTAGGCTTCAAATTAATCACTACCATCGGTATTCGTTCAGATAAAAAGTTGGAACCGCTAATTGTGCCGATCCACAGACAAACATTTGTTATTACTTTTAAATAGTTTCTTACTAGCTGTTCACGATCTTCAGGTTGAGTCAGGTCGTAGGACCAAGGATAGACGATACTCTGGTCGGGGCTGTGGAGGCTAAGGTACATCTTCACCCTTGGTTCGAAGCAGAGAAAGAAGTCCCTAAGGGCGCAGGACTCTGCTTCGGAAAAGGGCTCGCTTCCGCAGTAAAACTGGGAACAGGGGTCACGAATCCTTTCTGCTCCGCCCTCTGGAAAAAATACAATAAAAAGGCTTAGAAAATAGTAGTTTTATGAATAAAAGTTAATAAAGTTTTAAATTTACATATGTGTCAACACCGTACACTTGTTGACTAATGATACCTTAGGGGGAAAATAAATTCAGTATTCTTTCAGGAAAAGACATGGGCATATATTATTATTTATTTTATACAAAACGTAACAATAAACATATTGCAATATGATAAAAAATTAATCAATTGTTTTTATTTCTTATTATCAGCTAGCGTTAAATTAAATTAGATTTTTTTTCTAGACCACTGAAAATAATGAAAAAAATGGTCTACTAGTTAAATACCTAATTTGAAGTTTTATTTAAGCTATTTAATTAATAATTTTCTCGCCTTACTTCACTATACTTTTTGGCAACAAGAAAAAAGACGTGTGATGGCCACGCCATATTTATTAATAATCTTTGTGTGAGGTATTGGTTGAAATGAAAAAGTTAGTGTCAAGAGCGGGATTCGAAATCATGATAGCTCAAGTGGTCCAGTGGCGTATTTGGCCGGTCGTGGGTTGGAATCCCGCTCGTGACACTAACTTTTTCATTTCACCCAATAAAAAGCTTTTAAAGTACATATATGAAGTTTTAGCCCCTCCCCCAATGATCAACTGGAACGAAGAAAAGCATCTAGACAACTTGCTTTTCTTCGAACCCAACATACTTCCGAATGGAATTTTTTTATACACGAATCTCGGGGGTTGATATGATCGCGCAGTTGCAAATCTCGGTAAAAAATATATTTTTTAAAAATACAGCTTTATATATTAATTTAAGAAGTTTAAGTTAGGCGTAAAACATTTGATAGAACTATGGTATGAAATGAAACATCGTGAGAAATACTTAGAGAAAGGGTGAAAAAAAAAATATTTTGAGTAAGTACATAGATCATTGCATGACTTCAACGGATTTTGACTGATTACACAAATTTAAAGGTGTATAAATTATACGGCAAATACGAACAGAAATATTAGCTTTGATAGTTTTCCCTTTCGTTTCTGTAAAAACGATTTTAAGAGAAAACAAATGTTTGATGTCAAGATTTAAAAGAAAAACTTACCTTTCCATTTGTAGGAGAAATTTCTGTTGATGTCAATACCTCGGCAGTGGTTGATGAAAGTGTTGTTCCTGTTCTTCCTCCAGTTTTCCTTAAATGAGTTAACGTTATCATTTTTATGTGTAACTTTGATGTGACCATCAGATAATGTGCTGCATTATATTTTGCAAACGTGTACAAGTAAGCATGAGTCCAGATTTACAATGATTTTCGGGTCAAAACAGCAATCATCGGGGACATTGCTTCATCGAATTTTATTTTTGCAAATTGTATAGGCTAGTTAAATGATTCGCGGATTTGAGATTTGGTAAATTTCTTATAAAGTTATATAATGGCGGCGTCGGTAGTCGCTGGTCGCAAGGGTTTAGGCGATGACGCGGCGCTCATCACTGTAAGGTAAAGGTACCGGGTTCGAATCCAGTGGCCCTGCATTCGAACCCGATTGTTAAATTACCTAATTAATTAGGGTCATTAGATTTTCCGACGCTAATTAAAAATGATAAACCTTTATTCGGAAAACTGGCAAATCTGATACTCACATCGGTTTCAATGGCGAACAGATAACCGTCAGGATTGAGTAGTGGTGCGATGGCCAAGTCGACAGTCTCCAATATCTTAGTCAGTATTTTGTCCTTTTTCTCTTTGGCCAATTGGCCGATGGCGTAAATAGCCGCCGCGGCGGCCACTTTCTCCCTGGGATGGCACCCGGCTTCAATGAGTACGACGGGCTTATTGCCGTTTTCTTCGCCTACGAATACCCCCGGTATTTCTTGTCCTCCGGCTGTTTCCCCGATTGACATGTACTTGAGCTTTTCTTCTTTGCATATGAGCTTGAGCAAACTTACTATCTGTAAAAAAATTCAACAGTTAAAACCGAATCACAATCCGAGTTTCAGGATTACGACCTCTTTTGAAGATAGGTAGCCCTTGTTTATCATAGAATAGGTCGCTTCCCAAAAAGGGTTGTTTTTGCATACTCTGCGCATACAATTGCAAAAATATATAATTCCACATAACAGCATGATTATGTCATAATCTAACTTAAAGATAAAATTTATTAAATAATATTTAAAAAAATTAATACATCGTTATGAAACTTTGTGTATGTGTTGGTGTTTATGGTTAATTTGTGTATATGGATGGTACGAATGGGACAGAACTTTAGAGAAAAAGAAGTTTAATATTCAATATGCCCCATTATATGTATTAAGCCAGAAAAAATAGCAAAAAATAGTGAAATATTTGAATACTCCAAAGTGAACAATAACAGACCAACTAATCAGCATATATGGCAGTTTCTAAACACTTCATTGAAAAAAGGCGTAACGCAATACATAATAATCTAGAATGAATCGACCATTCAAAAGACACATGAAATAACTCTTTTAAAAGACAGACGATGACTTATAAAAGGGAGTAGTCAGATATTCCCCCAACTAAAAGGACCTTTTTACCGGATCCCTCAAGGAAGTGTATTTTCCAGAAATTTGGAAAAAAGTTAGGGTGAAAACTTCTTTAGACAGGAAACGGAACGGACGTACTCTAAAAGTAAATTCATTATGTTTAGAGGTCTATTGACCAAATTACACGACATTTGAAAAACGGCAAAAAGGAGGGAAAATTCAAAAGGTGGGTTGAGATGGGAAGTTGGTGTCCGAGTGGATCGAAGCCACGATAGCTCAAGTGGTAGAGCAGCGGCGTATTTAGCCGAAGGTCGTAGGTTCGAATCCCGCTCGTGGCACTGACTTTTTCGTTTCAACCAAAACCTTACCTAAAATTAAAGTTGAGTAAAGTTTCAGAAAAGCTGATATTGTCCAAACTCAAATCACCTTATAGAGGAGAAATGCTCGGAAATACAGTTGTAAGGAAGATCTCGGTACTGACAATTCTAACACTAATAACTGATGTAAAACAAAGCAAAGGGATTTACTCGTTAGCAGTGTTCTTCGACATACATAGAGAACCTGTGACAACAAAGAATGGTGTCTCGTACTGGAAGAAATCTAAAAGGAAAACTGCCCAAGAAACCTCTTCTCACCAACAAGGAATTATTTTGAAAATCTAAAGGCTCTAAAGGGACTGAATTAAAACGTTCAGTAACCGAGCACAAGGTAGCAAAAGGGTGCCCCCAGGGGTCTATACTTGGACTTATTTGCTGGAACGCCGTTATCGACACCCTCATAACCAAACTAAAAAGACTCGAGAACCTCGTAGACGACCTGGCTTGAACGATCGCCGCAAATACCAAGAAAAAACTAGAAGAAAAGACAAACGTTCTTACCCTAGTAATATCGGAGTGGTGCAAACAAATAAAATTGCAACTAGCATCGGGAAAATGCTAAATTTTATTTCAAGGGACACTTCAAAATGATCCAAAAGTGATAGTAAGCAACAAGCGCATTAATTGCGGCTTCACGCAACATACGGAATACTAAGGGGAAAATTAAATGCATTTTTCAGAACTAAGGCAGTTCTCCGAAGTAGTGTGGGGCTTCGTTGGTACAGCAATGGCTATCATATATAAAAGTGTTTTATCCCGATAGCAGCTTACCCAATACTAAACTCCAAAGGAAAAATGATGCTCGAATTAGCACGGATAGCGTTACTGAGGACGACAAAGGAGTATCGCATTATAACAAATGATGCCCCGCAAATGATCGTAAAAGCCTCACCGACTGATTTGCGCCTGAAGATGCAGGTATAAAATGTTCCTCAAGGATAAAAAGAGGTGGGAAATCGAAAGCTAAGAAATTGGCTAGGAATAAACGAATTAGATGGGAATCGGCAAAAAGATGCTCCAGAACTGGATAAATGAACAGTGGTACGTTAGATGACCATTGCTTCCCGTATTTACTCAGAGCCCTTAAAAGAACAAGAGGATCTTTTACGTCCGTACCTAGCCTTTTCGGCCCTACCGGACGTTTTAATTCTCAAGATGAGAGATGACGCACCTCCGATCACGACCGGATGGGTGTTACAGCGTACAGGTGTTGAGGGGCCAAGACGGACCTCACTCCCCGCTTGTCCATTCCGAGTGGATGGGGCTGTATTAAGCACCAGACAGTGTGCCGCACGGCAAAGGGAAACCTCATATGGCTGAAATGCATCAGCCAGGGCCGACCCGCCGGCTCCCTAGATAGAAAAGGCGACTCTATCTCCCAGAGTATTGGGGCTCCTTCAGCGTAAGAACTTCCGGATCCGCTCCGGCCGCGGTTTTGTTTAAAGTGGAATTTCTAACCCCCTAGAGGAACACTGCCCTCGGAAGAAAACCGCAAACGGTTTCACACTAAGTTCTCGCCAGGAGTATCGCCAAAAAGCCACTATGAGTCCACTCCCATGTGGCAGGGTTGGACTTGGAACATTTTCTGCTACCCCGTAGTCCTGGAACCCTAACCCTCGTGTGCCTCTGATAAAGCACCCATTCCCCTGCCGACCCGGAGGCCGACACGAATCCAGCTTGTGCTTTAGAGAGGTTGCCACGCTCCCAAGGCTACAACATTATGTTGTGCCTGGATACCCCCCTTGCATCCAAGGGTTGGGAGTGGTCTCAAGGAAGTATGCCGATCGACCTGGATTATTGAGAAAAAGAAGTGACCGAGGACACGACGCTCACCTTTTCAGGTTGCGCCCCCCCCCCCGCCTCGGCCACTTTGTAACACCCATTGTCGCCGTAGTTCCACATTAAGTGGGCTGTGATTCCTCTGGATGAATAAAACAGATGAGATTGCCGTTCAAGTGCCGAACGAGTCGACACCATCCCGACCAGTTTTCTCGAGGGGTGAATCTGAGACTGTGTGGCCTCACGGCCCACAGCTCGGATTAAAGCTGTTCATTCTCAGATACCCTTCCCCACATGTGAAAAAAGACAGGGCGACCTTTAATTTCCCAAGCGTAACAGCAAGGATAAAAGGTCCTTGGATTAAGCCCGACTTCTGGGTCCTCCAGTTTTTGAGCTCGAACGGGAATTTAAAGGTCATGAAAATATTCTGCATCTCGGATTCGGCAGATTGCATGGAATGCGATAAAGAGGAAACCTTGGAGCGTGTATTCTCTGAGTGAGAAAACTTCCACATTAAAGAGAACCACTGCAAACAAAAATCCGTAAATGGCCCCAACAGCTTAAAAAATAAACCGATAACGTGGAAAATTATCAAGTTTTTCACAACGCCATAGTGGAGATAGGAAGGAAAAAGCCGGTTATTTTCCCTCAATTTAAAAAAAGCTTTACTATAGACCATGCATTTCAAAAATTGTTATAATGTTTAATGTTAAATTGTTCGAACCCAAATTTGATCATTTATAAATTATTAAATGTATAAACTTTCCTATTTATATTTTTTTAAATGTTTATTTATTTTAATGTTTTATTTTCTGAAATGATTTTTTGTATATGTATGTTAATTTTATGTTTTGTGTTTGTTAAAAATTGTATAAAACAAGAGGAAAGACAAGAAGGGAATCTTTTAAATTCCGATTGGTAAATTAAATTAAATATTAAAAAGTTTTGCCTCCATTTTATCCCTTAGCCACTGAGGAATAGGAGAGATGTTAAAGTAAAATCTTCCCACTTTAGGTCACTTTTTCAAAATTCCATTATGGTGGTCTGCCGGTATGGCTTATCCTAAAGTACGGCGAGGAAGGTGGAGGGCAAAGAAAACAAAATAAGAAAGCAGGAAGTTAAGAATAAAAACAAAGGTTGGAAACAAAAATACGTAAAAGGAATGGAATTGTCGCATAAACATGGCCAGTAAACGCTGTGGGAAATCGATTTCATTATTATGGCAATTTAGAAATTAAAAATAATTCAACAAAGACCAAGAAATATTCGGTTTAATAAGTAACCTGTACGACTCTTTGTTTTTGGACATTAGCCGGTTATTTTTAAACATCCGGCCAATAGATTACCTACCTTTGACGTATTCTCAAAATTTTTCCGTCACATTATGTTTAACGTCAAATGAGTTTTAATAATAATTTTCCGGGTATTATCATTGATTTTGATTAAAAAAACGACACACGCATGTCTTTATCGAGTTTTGAGAGTGCCCAAGTGCCCCCCCCCCGGAGGGCACTCTCAAGACGACACAAAGAATGGCACAATTACGCAGAAAACAATCACTTTGAAACCTGAAGATGATCTCAATAAAGATCGAAACGTTGGCACGATAAAGAAAATGTTTTTCTACGTCACACCAAACCGCATCACACGATCTCCCAATAATCATTGATTAATGGTCAATAAACACCACACATAAATCAGTACATTTAAAACGAAGGGGCTAGGTGGCGCTAATCACTGCAAGGTAAAAGTCCCGGGTTCGAATCCTGCTTCCCTGAATACTTACAAATTTTTTGTTTTTTCAAAAACACCGACACCCCAAGGGTTCATAGTTTGTTTTTAGCACTTTACATTAGCAATTTATCATTTATACTATGTAATCTTAATTTTCGTTTAGTATTAGATAAAGAGTTGATTGATAATTAGGGTACTAGGCTGGCTTAGGCAGGGTCCATTGATTATATTATTATCCACATACTCAAGTAAAGCTGAGTTATTGCTTGTAATAACCATTTTCTAAATAATTCATGGTTTTAATTACATTAAGCTGAACAAAAAGGATAATTTGATGTTAATCTCTGGTGGTCCAGTTATATAGGAGGGCATATAGCATTTTCTTCGTTCCTATAATAAACAATAATATATTTGTCCTAGGCCATTATAAACACATTAACCTTGTATACAATTTTCAAAACCATTCTATCATCTGATAACCATTTTCTTTATTTGAACTAGATTGGCAGTTAATTATCTGATTCATTAGATTATATGGATGTTTACTTGTGGTTCCGATTACTGATATTTTAAAAATATTTTATAATGTATAACGTCCTTTAGGATCTAGGGCAACTGGTTTGGACTCGGGAATTATACTGACGTCAGATGTAGGCGTCTTTAAGGTCGTTTTTTCTCGAGCATG